GACTCACGATACACAAGCATATCATAGCTCTACATGATACAGATATATTTTGGCATCAAAAATAAAAGTTCCTCGTGACCTGTCAGTATGAAATCTATACTGACTAGTTGTAACTGTATATGCAGTTTGATTTTACAAATATAGAAAGCATGTTTATGTTAAACACTGATGATGATAAATAGGCTTATTGAAGGGAAGAGGAGTCTCTGTAGTATATAAGATGTCATGACTGCAGTATACACTCCATGTCTCTCATATCCCATGTAACACAGTATACATACATGTCATGTCTCAGCAGTATACATACATGTCATGGCTCTGCAGTATACATACATGTCATGTCTCTCAGTATATATACATGTCATGGCTCTGTAGTATACATACATGTCATGACTCTGTAGTATACATACATGTCATGACTGCAGTCTACATACATGTCATGGCTCTGTAGTATACATACATGTCATGGCTCTGTAGTATACATACATGTCATGGCTCTGTAGTATACATACATGTCATGGCTCTGTAGTATACATACATGTCATGGCTCTGTAGTATACATACATGTCATGACTCTGTAGAGTATACATGTATCATGGTAAATGTAATATGTGAACTCTATACATACATGTACATGGCTCTGTACAGGGTTTCCTTATATCTGGAGTAAATGTAATATGTGAACTCTCTCCCCTCTGGTATCTACTACTGGTACAGGGTTTCCTTATGTATCTGGAGTAAATGTAATATGTGAACTCTCTCCCCTACTGGTAACACAGTATCATACATTGAACTCTCTCCCAGAATGTGATACTACTGGTACAGGGTTTCCATGTATCTGGAGTAAATGTATATGTCTCTCTCCCCTACTGGTACAGGGTGAACTCTCTCCCCCTACTGGTACAGGGTTTCCTTATGTATCTGGAGTAAATGTAATATGTGAACACTCTCCCCTACTGGTCGAGGGTTTCCTTATGTATCTGGAGTAAATGTGATCTCTCTCCCCTACTGGTACAGGGTTTCCTTATGTATCTGGAGTAAATGTAATATGTGAACTCTCTCCCCTACTGGTACAGGGTTTCTCCCCTACTGGTACAGGGTTTCCTTATGTATCTGGAGTAAATGTAATATGTGTACTCTCTCCCCTACTGGTACAGGGTTTCTCCCCTACTGGTACAGGGTTTCCTTATGTATCTGGAGTAAATGTAATATATGAACTCTCTCCCCTACTGGTACAGGGTTTCTCCCCTACTGGTAGAGGGTTTCTCCCCTACTGGTACAGGGTTTCCTTATGTATCTGGAGTAAATGTAATATGTGAACTCTCTCCCCTACTGGTACAGGGTTTCCTTATGTATCTGGAGTAAATGTAATATGTGAACTCTCTCCCCTACTGGTACAGGGTTTCCTTATGTATCTGGAGTAAATGTAATATGTGAACTCTCTCCCCTTCTGGTACATGGTTTCCTTATGTATCTGGAGTAAAACTCTCTCCCCTACTGGTTGAGGGTTTCCTTATGTATCTGGAGTAAATGTAATATATGAACTCTCTCCCCTACTGGTACAGGGTTTCCTTATGTATCTGGAGTAAATGTAATATATGAACTCTCTCCCCTACTGGTACAGGGTTTCTCCCCTACTGGTACAGGGTTTCCTTATGTATCTGGAGTAAATGTAATATATGAACTCTCTCCCCTACTGGTACAGGGTTTCCTTATGTATCTGGAGTAAATGTAATATATGAACTCTCTCCCCTACTGGTAGAGGGTTTCCTTATGTACCTGGAGTAAATGTAATATATGAACTCTCTCCCCTACTGGTACAGGGTTTCTCTACTGGTACAGGGTTTCCTTATGTATCTGGAGTAAATGTAATATGGGTTTCTCCCCTACTGGTACAGGGTTTCCTTATGTATCTGGAGTAAATGTAATATGTGTACTCTCTCCCCTACTGGTCGAGGGTTTCCTTATGTATCTGGAGTAAATGTAATATATGAACTCTCTCCCCTACTGGTACAGGGTTTCCTTATGTATCTGGAGTAAATGTAATATGTGAACTCTCTCCCCTACTGGTTGAGGGTTTCCTTATGTATCTGGAGTAAATGTAATATGTGAACTCTCTCCCCCTACTGGTACAGGGTTTCCTTATGTATCTGGAGTAAATGTAATATGTGAACTCTCTCCCCTACAGGGTTTCCTTATGTATCTGGAGTAAATGTAATATGTGTACTCTCTCCCCTACTGGTAGAGGGTTTCCTTATGTATCTGGAGTAAATGTAATATGTGAACTCTCTCCCCTACTGGTAGAGGGTTTCCTTATGTATCTGGAGTAAATGTAATATATGAACTCTCTCCCCTACTGGTACAGGGTTTCCTTATGTATCTGGAGTAAATGTAATATGTGGTCTCCCCTACTGGTACTGGTACAGGGTTTCCTTATGTATCTGGAGGGTTCTCTCCCCTACTGGTACAGGGTTTCCTTATGTATCTGGAGTAAATGTAATATATGAACTCTCTCCCCTACTGGTACAGGGTTTCCTTATGTATCTGGAGTAAATGTAATATATGAACTCTCTCCCCCTACTGGTACAGGGTTTCCTTATGTATCTGGAGTAAATGTAATATATGACTCTCTCCCCTACTCAGGGTTCTCTCTGGTACAGGGTTTCTCCCCTACTGGTAGAGGGTTTCCTTATGTATCTGGAGTAAATGTAATATATGAACTCTCTCCCCTACTGGTAACTCTCTCCCCTACTGGTACAGGGTTTCCTTATGTCTCTCCCCTACTGGTACAGGGTTTCCTTATGTATCTGGAGTAAATGTAATATATGAACTCTCTCCCCTACTGGTATCTGGAGTAAATGTAATATATGAACTCTCTCCTTACCTACTGGTACTTTGGGTTTCTTTCTCCCCTACTGGTACAGGGTTTCCTTATGTATCTGGAGTAAATGTAATATGTGAACTCTCTCCCCTACTGGTACAGGGTTTCCTTATGTATCTGGAGTAAATGTAATATATGAACTCTCTCCCCTACTGGTACAGGGTTTCCTTATGTATCTGGAGTAAATGTAATATATGAACTCTCTCCCCTACTGGTACAGGGTTTCCTTATGTATCTGGAGTAAATGTAATATGTGTACTCTCTCCCCTACTGGTAGAGGGTTTCCTTATGTATCTGGAGTAAATGTAATATATGAACTCTCTCCCCTACTGGTACAGGGTTTCCTTATGTATCTGGAGTAAATGTAATATATGACTCTCTCCCCTACTCTCTCCCCTACTGGTAGAGGGTTTCCTTATGTATCTGGAGTAAATGTAATATATGAACTCTCTCCCCTACTGGTACAGGGTTTCCTTATGTATCTGGAGTAAATGTAATATATGAACTCTCTCCCCCTACTGGTAGAGGGTTTCTCCCCTACTGGTACAGGGTTTCTCCCCTACTGGTAGAGGGTTTCCTTATGTATCTGGAGTAAATGTAATATGTGTACTCTCTCCCCTACTGGTAGAGGGTTTCCTTATGTATCTGGAGTAAATGTAATATGTGAACTCTCTCCCCCTACTGGTACAGGGTTTCCTTATGTATCTGGAGTAACTGGGTATCTGGAGTAAATGTAATATGTGAACTCTCTCCCCCTACTGGTACAGGGTTTCCTTATGTATCTGGAGTAAATGTAATATATGAACTCTCTCCCCTACTGGTACAGGGTTTCTCCCCTACTGGTACAGGGTTTCTCCCCTACTGGTACAGGGTTTCCTTATGTATCTGGAGTAAATGTAATATGTGTACTCTCTCCCCTACTGGTAGAGGGTTTCCTTATGTATCTGGAGTAAATGTAATATGTGAACTCTCTCCCCCTACTGGTACAGGGTTTCCTTATGTATCTGGAGTAAATGTAATATGTGAACTCTCTCCCCCTACTGGTACAGGGTTTCCTTATGTATCTGGAGTAAATGTATCTGGAGTAAATGTAATATATGAACTCTCTCCCCTACTGGTTCAGGGTTTCCTTATGTATCTGGAGTAAATGTAATATGTGAACTCTCTCCCCTACTGGTTGAGGGTTTCCTTATGTATCTGGAGTAAATGTAATATGTGTACTCTCTCCCCTACTGGTTGAGGGTTTCCTTATGTATCTGGAGTAAATGTAATATGTGAACTCTCTCCCCTACTGGTACAGGGTTTCTCCCCTACTGGTACAGGGTTTCCTTATGTATCTGGAGTAAATGTAATATATGAACTCTCTCCCCTACTGGTACAGGGTTTCCTTATGTATCTGGAGTAAATGTAATATGTGTACTCTCCCCCTACTGGTACAGGGTTTCTCCCCTACTGGTACAGGGTTTCCTTATGTATCTGGAGTAAATGTAATATGTGAACTCTCTCCCCTACTGGTACAGGGTTTCCTTATGTATCTGGAGTAAATGTAATATGTGAACTCTCTCCCCTACTGGTACAGGGTTTCCTTATGTATCTGGAGTAAATGTAATATGTGTACTCTCTCCCCTACTGGTACAGGGTTTCTCCCCTACTGGTACAGGGTTTCCTTATGTATCTGGAGTAAATGTAATATGTGAACTCTCTCCCCTACTGGTTGAGGGTTTCCTTATGTATCTGGAGTAAATGTAATATATGAACTCTCTCCCCTACTGGTACAGGGTTTCTGTATGTATCTGGAGTAAATGTGATATGTGTACTCTCTCCCCCTACTGGTAGAGGGTTTCCTTATGTATCTGGAGTAAATGTAATAGGTATCTGTAGATATACACAACAGTGACCTTTTCCTGAGGTCAAGGATACATGGAGTTTAAGAGAATTATCTACTTTTAAATGTGTTTTTCTTGCCCGTTTATAACAGGAAATAATTTGACAGTTTGATTGTCTCAGTCTGTTTGCTTTACTTTATCAGACATATTCAGGTATTTTATCTAGATGCTCGCTGAACCCAGTTGTGATAAGCTCTACATGGAAAGATGATGTGATTACCCTGTTATTGTAGGGCCTGGTGTTTCTACACAACTATGCAGAGTTACGAGGAGACTGCCAGGAATCTAACTTCAATATTGGAAGAGCTCTCCATCAGTTAGGTAAGTCCGTTTTATAGCTGCCTTTGTTTCTGTCTGTTTCATTGCCACTCTTTTGTTACACAATAGCTATGAGCAGCCTCATTTAAATGTTTGCATCTAAGGATGATCTCAGAAATTGGAGTTTTGAAAAAAATATCAGAATGATTGAGATACAATGTCATTTATATCAATATGAATGTTCTATTCAAATTTTTCGTTTGACTTACTGCTATAAAATTGGTTTGATTTTAAATAGGATTACATTTATAATGGTAGGTGATGTGTGATTACCGAATTAAATGTGATGTATGGGTGCATACAAGTGCAAGATTCTGTTTCTCATTTCTGATTTCTTAAGTAGTTTTTCTGTAATAAACTCATAAATGTGACCAGCTGTAGTATGCACATCTGTATTGAATATTAAATAGACTTATCCCTTATTGTTGTCCTGAAGGCAGGAGATGTAAAATCTAGCGATTGTTTTAACTTTACTGACTAAAGAAGACAACAACACAATGTACAGGATTTATTCACTGAAACAGACAGAGATCGAGGACACTTACTTAGACATGGAGATTTATACCAGGGCTGTTGTGATTTCAGGGCTGACCTATGCTGCCATTCATTACTACAGAAAAGTTCTGGATATGAAACCAGTCTTGGAACATCCTGATGTAAGTTTGTCCTCTTGGTAATAATTGTAAAAATAACACTTTTCATGTAAAATGTCGTGAACGATGGCTTCTTCTTAAATGACAGATTTCTGACTGGTTTTTTTAATCTCCTAAGAAATGAATATAAAAGTCACATTGTGACATAGATTTTGGCAAAACTTTGTGAATAATAAATTGAAATGATGCAAAATCTAAACTGAAGACATTCTCGCTCTGTATCTCTTTCTTTGATGACATCACAATGCTTGTGATGTCATGAAGTGATGTGACATCACATTGGAAACCTTCAGCCAATCATAGCTCCTTTAGGTCAGATTACACATGTGTCATTATAAAATAAGTTGCCATGTGTTAAAGCAGGATATACAGGCCAATTGTGACTCTTTATGTAGTAGGATATACATCGTATTACAAGGTATCCTGAATATTTATTCCCCTAATATATACATGGTGTTAGAGAGTATCCTTGACATAGTGACCTCTAATACCCCCTAATATACATGTTACAGAGTATCCTTGACATAGTGACCCCCTAATACCCCCCTAATATACATGTTACAGAGTATCCTTGACATAGTGGCCCCTGATATCCCCTAATATACATGTTACAGAGTATCCTTGACATAGTGACCTCTAATATCCCCCTAATATACATGTTACAGAGTATCCTTGACATAGTGACCCCTGATATCCCCTAATATACATGTTACAGAGTATCCTTGACATAGTGACCCCCTGATACCCCCTAATATACATGTTACAGTGTATCCTTGACATAGTGACCTCTAATATCCCCCTAATATACATGTTACAGAGTATCCTTGACATAGTGACCCCTGATATCCCCTAATATACATATTACAGAGTATCCTTGACATAGTGACCCCTGATATCCCCTAATATACATGTTACAGAGTATCCTTGACAAAGTGACCCCTAATATACATGTTACAGTGTATCCTTGACGTAGTGACCCCTAAGACCCCCTAATATACATGTTACAGAGTATCCTTGACATAGTGACCCCTGATATCCTCTAATATACATGTTACAGAGTATCCTTGACATAGTGACCTCTAATACCCCTAATATACATGTTACAGAGTATCCTTGACATAGTGACCCCTGATACCCCCTAATATACATGTTACAGTGTATCCTTGACATAGTGACCTCTGATACCCCCTAATATACATGTTACAGAGTATCCTTGACAAAGTGACCCCTAATATACATGTTACAGTGTATCCTTGACATAGTGACCCCTAAGACCCCCTAATATACATGTTACAGTGTATCCTTGACATAGTGACCCCTAATATCCCCTAATATACATGTTACAGAGTATCCTTGACATAGTGACCCCCTAATACCCCTAATATACATGTTACAGAGTATCCTTGACATAGTGACCCCTGATACCCCCTAATATACATGTTACAGAGTATCCTTGACATAGTGACCCCTGATATCCCCTAATATACATGTTACAGGGTATCTTGGATCTGACCTATGAGGCTGCCTATAACCTATCACTGATCTACCAAACCAGTAATTCCTATGACCTGGCCGCCCTCCTCATCAACAAGTACCTTGTGATATGACGGTAAGTTACATACTGAAATGTGTATTGATATCTCTGTGATATTGCTTCAGAACGATGATGGATGGGTTTTTGTTTCTTGTGGTGTATTTTTAGTAAAAGGTTTGTTCCTGCTCTTGACACCTGCAAAACTAACATTGGAATATTGTCAAATGATGATATCATACACACAGGAGGAGATGATTAATTTATAGAATATATATACAGGCAGGTGAATAACCAAGTGAGTGATGTGTTTTGTCTTATCTAAATTGACAGAAATGATTCATTGGCTAAACTGATATCTTTTGGAAACCTGGTAGGGTTACTATAACATCGCATGAGACAGTAATCACACTGAGATATAGGGCATTGAAAAGTTTTAGTACTGGTGATTGTTTATGGTTTTCTGCCTCTAAAGTGCAAAAGGATCAGTAGATGTGATGCCTGGCATCTGTTTGGCATCAGAAAATTCTATAGTGGTGTGATCGTGGCATCTGTCTGACATTAGTAAATTCTATGGTGGTGTGATGCCTGGCATCTGTCTGACATTAGTAAATTCTATAGTGGTGTGATGCCTGGCATCTGTCTGACATCAATAGATTCTGTATTGATGTGATACCTGGCATCTGTCTGACATCAGTAAAATTTTGTTAGGATGTGATAATGCCTGGCATGTCTGCCATCAATAGATTCTGTAGTGATGTGATGCCTGGCATCTGTCTGACATTTGTAAATTCTGTAAGGATGTGATGATGCCAGTCATATGTCTGCCATCAATAGATTCCGTAGTGATCTGATGCCTGACATCTGTTTGGCATCAATAAATTCTATAGTAGTGTGATGTCTGGCATCTGTCTGACATCAGAAAATTCTATAGTGATGTGATGCCTGGCATCTGTCTGACATCAGTAAATTATGTAGTGATGTGATGCCTGGCATCTGTCTGACATCAGTAAATTATGTAGTGATGTGATGCCTGGCATCTGTCTGGAAGTTTTGTAATAGTGTGATGCCAGGCTTCTATTTGGCATCAGTTCTATAGTGGTTCGATTCCCAGCGTCTGTTTGTCTTTAGGAAGTTCTGGTATGCCCAGCATCTGTCCATCATGAGTAAGCTCTGTAGCAATGTGATGCCTTGTGTCTTCAATATCAGTATGCTTTGTAACAATGTGATGACAAATGGCATCAGTAATGGTGTAGTGCCCAGCATCTATCCAGCATCAGGTCCCAATGAAGGAAATACGGCAAATTCTAGGAAATCCAACTTCTGTAGGAATTACTTCGTTTTGCCCAATTTGATATTATGCCTCGATTATATTCCAGTTTGATTTGACACATCCTAAGGAAGTGGGAAATCAATTTTATGTAAAAGGCGGGTCTCTGCCTCCTGGTATGGAAAGGACAAGGCCCAATAAGGGAAACAGATCAAATTTATCAAAATCTTATTCCTTCTATGGGAATGGTTAAATTTTCCCCAAATTAGATCTGAAACATACTTGGGTGAAGAGGAATCAGCTTTGTATAATCAGCTTGTCTTTGTCACCTGTGGCAGAGTCCAATAGGGGAAATAGTCTTTTTTTTTTTTTTTAAAGAATTCTATCTTTCCTGCAAGAATGATAAGATATTGCTTAAATTTGGTCTGAAGCATCCTTTGGTGAAGGGGACAAAACTATTCATAAACTTTTCATCTCAACCTTCTGGGTTTGGAGGGGTGGAGGCCAAAAGGGAAAATATAGCAAATTCTTTAAAGTCCTTATTGTTCTTTTGGAATGCCTGGATTCTGTCCAAGTTAAGGTGAAGGGAAAACAATTATCTTATAAACGATGTGATTCTTATCCACCATGCTTGGTAGGGGTGGGTCCCAGTCAGTGAATGAAATTTCTTTGAAATCATTCTTATTTTGTAGGAATGATTGACAATATTCCAAATTTGGTGTGAAGCATTTTTAAGTGAAGGAGATATTGTATAATCAGTGCATCTGGTCCCCGATTGGACAGAGGAGTGGGGCTAATTCAGGAAATGGATATAAATCTTCTAATTACATTTCATTTAATTTAGATGAAACAATTTAGATGAACTAAACCTTGTTATTGATACAGGCCCTATGGAACTTTAACTTTTACATTTCTATTGAAATCTACTATAAAATACATTATTACTTTTACATGGTGTCTTTGTGAAATGTTTAGAAACACAAAGACATTTTACACATGTCTATATTCTTAGTAATGAGTAACCATCAGTTGGTAGCATTACTCTGATGACATTGGAACACCTTTATTTTCAGTATCATCTCTACATATCGTTTGTATTGATCTAGCTCAGCATACTGTTGTATAGGTATGAAATAAGCAGATAAATAAATACATGGCTAGCGGTTAGATTCTGGGTAGTCATGAGTCTGTAAGCCTAGACAGCCAGTCTGTTGTTTGTCCACATTAATTAATGTCTATCCAAACATTGATTTTCTTGGGGAGGTGGTTACCTTGTTAACATTTGTCATATCACCGCTGGCTAATCATTGATTGTATGTCTAGTTTTATTTCACATGTCCCTGTTCATTATCTTTAATTTCACAGATTTTTTTGACTCTGCTAAGCTCAATTACATGACATTTTTTTGTAAGAGAGTGTAACAGTGGTTTATGTAATGTTGGCTGGAGTCAGTATGCCCTTTGATTTGTGTTTATTTCAGATTGTTACTCTGTGTGGTTGTTTAGTTTACCGGGTAAAATATTTCGCTGTTGTCCTTATTTGGATCATTTCTCTGGGTTTAATTTTGTGCGATGCATCCTCAAGCAGTAAACATGAGAACTTTGATATTTTTATTTTAATTACTGTGAAATAGTGCTTTGTCATTAATTACCAGCTGTCCTTACTTACCATGACTATAGGGAAATCAGATGCCTTCTGATGTAACTAACAACACAGTGCTTGGTAGTGAGTTATTAGTGTCTTCAATAGTTAGTATTCCGTTTCATTACTTCCTTGATGAAGAGCTTAGAAAATTTGATGATGCCTACTGTTTGGCCCTTCATTGTCATTTAGTTCCATGGTCATCAGACTTTGTAGGTGAAAATGAAAGTTTTTTTCTTGTTTTCCTTATGTTCCATCTGTTTGTTTTATAGACTTTAAAGGTTTGGTAAAGTTAGGAAATTGTGTTTAGCTATATGCAATGGAGCATATAGCCAGATGGTGTGATGTATAGAAAAATCATATGGAATTTTGAATTGTAGCCATTTTGAATTTCAAATTTATACCACAAATTTTTTAAAATATTACTATGTATTGATTATCAGATTTTACAATTTGTTCACTTCAAAAAAAAAAAAAAAAAACAATGTAAGGGAAATTTTTCAACATGATTACAGATACCTGTGTTAGGGTGCTTCATCTTCATACAGGTAAAGTAATGATGTTGTCTGCCTCTTTTTCTGCACAATATCTCAAGCTCTGTTGGGCCAATTGCAGTCAAACTTTACCCCATGATTCTTCATAAGCAGAGGTTGTGTGTAAGTAGTTTTCTGGTCCTGAGGTCAAAGGTCAAGGACATAATATTAATATGAACTGAAAATTCTGTTGAATGTCTTCTTCTTTACAGGAAGTGGTTAGCTCTCAATTAATTTTCAAATTCAAAAGTCAAGGTCACCTTTACTGGACATAGAAATGGAAATATACAACAGAAATTTATGTCACATCTGATTGTTACAAATATTTACTGATGACGTAATAATGCATAATTAGTTGAAATGAAATGAGAAGTCACCTTAATACAGGTCAAGGTCATATTTGAATTTTAGGGTTTTTGGATTTTTTTTTTTTAACAGGCAAATTATTGTTTCTAAATCAACTTCTTGACATGTGTTGTTACCCATGTCGACTATTGGCATAACGGTGAGATAAAAATAATAAAGAGAAAAATCAGAGGAGTTCAAGATCATTGATGATCTATACCAGATCCCTCTTGGATCTTTGGTTATGCTGGAGGACTTGTGTTATTTTAGAAGTGGAAATGGCTCGACATATAATACTGCTGAGTTTTTGTCAACGATGTATAACAGGATGAAAGGATCAACAGGATTTGATTTACAAAACCACACCTGTTCTATGCTGGTTCTACAGGTAATATCACCACAGGAAATTAAACAGTATCATTGCAACCCTGCAGATAAACTGTAATAAGCGGGTCTTTACGTGGCCACAATTTGAATGTCAATATAGATCAATGACAGCGTAGACAGCCACTGTGGTCTGACGAATATGTCAGCTCAACTTGCTGGAATAGACAGCTCCATAAAACTAATAAAATTGGAATATACCGGATATTTTTATTAACCAGACATTAATGGTCTCCACAGAAGCTAAGATAAGCTTGTGGGTGCTATCATCAATCTAACATATTACTATGAATGGAAAGATTATGTTTGAAAGCTGATGGAATCATCTACCATTAAAGCTGTATTATATGTCTGGCTGTTCTCTGTTACCACTCTTACTGGCCTGCTGTCGCTGAAAATTACCTGCTTTCTCAGAAAACATTATTGACTACAAGACAGACCCTAGATTAATTGACCAGTCATTGTCAGATGGAGTGACCCTGGTGAAAGATTACTTATAGTCTATATTTGGAAAAATGATATAACTATGTCGCAAGATACACTTGGATAAGGGATCTAAGAAAGGCTTTTAGAAACCCATTCAAAGATAGCATTGAGTGACCAATGTAACATTCCAGCATCCTTGCTTATCTTTATTTTTTTTCTCTCTCTCTCTCTCTCTCTCCTTTTTTAATTTTTTTTCTTTTTGTGTGTGTGTGCCTGTGTATGTGTTTTTTAGGGGATCACTGAAAAAAGCAAAACAACAAAAAAGACTGCTCCTTTTCCATCACTAAAGAGTTACGCATTTTTCCTCCTATTTACTTTATTCTAGACACACTGTACATTTCTCTCAGACCTACTTTATCTATTCTAGATACACTATAAATTTCTCTCTACTTTATCTATTCTAGACACACTATAAATTTCTCTCTACTTTATCTATTCTAGATACACTATAAATTTCTCTCTACTTTATCTATTCTAGACACACTGTACATTTCTCTCTACTTTATCTATTCTAGACACACTATAAATTTCTCTCTACTTTATCTATTCTAGACACACTATAAATTTCTCTCAGACCTACTTTATCTATTCTAGACACACTATAAATTCTCTCTCTCCTGACACACTATAAATTTCTCTCTATCTATTTTAGACACACTATAAATTTCTCTCTACTTTATCTATTCTAGACACACTATAAATTTCTCTCTACTTTATCTATTCTAGACACACTATAAATTTCTCTAATTTATCTATTCTAGACACACTGTACATTTCTCTTCCTGCTAAATTTCTCTCTCTTTATTTTTAGACACACTATAAATTTCTCTCTACTTTATCTATTCTAGACACACTATAAATTTCTCTCTACTTTATCTTTTCTAGATACACACACTCTAGACACACTGTAATTTCTCTCTACTTTATCTATTCTAGACACACTATAAATTTCTCTCTAATTTATCTATTCTAGACACACTGTACATTTCTCTCAGACCTACTTTATCTATTCTAGATACACTATAAATTTCTCTCTGCATTTCTAGACTCACTGCATTTCTCTCTTTATCTATTTTAGACACATTGTACATTTCTCTCCTACTTACTTTATCTATTCTAGACACTGTACATTTCTCTCCTACTTACTTTATCTATTCTAGACAAACTATACATTTCTCTCCTACTTACTTTTTCTATTCTAGACACTATAAATTTCTCTCCTGCTAACTTTATCTATTTTAGACACATTGTACATTTCTCTGCTATAGTACTTATTTTCTATATTCTACAAACACTATAGTCAGTGTTCAATTACAGTCAATTTTGTGTATACAATCTCCCTACATCCTTGGTTACTAGAAAGTTATGGCATAGGCTTTAATGAAAGCTCTTCTGTGACATCAGTGATAGAAGTATAGAGATCTATAGGTGCAATTGTCTATGATGAATAAAGCATCTGGTGGGAAACTGCATGTAATTCATCTGCCAGCGTATTTCATTAATAAGCATAGATCCTTGCCTTCCAGATGTAATTTTTGCAAATATCCTGCTCTCTATTATAAAATCATGTAGACTAATGTCCTCATTTTCAAAGGAAATGAGTTCTATAAAATGTTGAAAGAAAAAAATTGATAGGTGTAAAATTAACATATTTTTCTAAGGAATTAAAATAGTGATGTTACAGACAAGGCAAACATCTCCTTAGTTCATCACTATCAGTCTGAACTGTGTGATTTGATAGGGAGAAATCTGTTGAAAGTTTGAGGCTGTTGAGAAATGGTAGTGTATTGATTGTGTGAGAGGGAGGGTGTTTCTACTAAAATCAGTGACTGGTTGTGTGCCTGAACACTGCTATCTAACAAAAACACTCTGTCTCTGCCTTCCAGTCTCAGCAGCCAGCTCCAACAAGCTGTTGCATGACAGACTAGGTTTCTGTGATATTCTGCAGGGAAAATCACTTTAGTAGCTCAGTACAGGTAAGGCCCTTTTAGTGTCTTGCAGGATATCATGCCATCATTTGTAAGTATTTGTAAAATTCAATGTTTCGTTGTGGTAATGTAATATTCTTACCAGAGATTGGAAACTATCTGTACAATATATATATAGCTGGTATCTTTGATGTAGTAAATTCTGAAGAAATATCTTTACTGTTTGAAAATTAGGCTGATAGCAAAATGTATTCTATCATTGTAGGGAAAACAGGTGAAATATCTGTAATTCAGATGAATATTTCAACTGCATTGAAATATAGTGAATTATTAGTGTGATACAATTTATTTTTACCTGAAGTGAAATATGGTAAATCACCATGGTGATCAATTGATATTTGATGGAAGTGAAATGTGTTGAATTATCAATGTGATTCTGATTACCACGGTAAAGTCATTTTTTGTTGAAATGTAATATGGTGAATTCCCAGTGTGATTAAATTGAAATTGATCTGCAGTAGAGTATTTGGTAATTTGTAATTATGATAAAAGTATTTTTAAGTGTAGTAGAAGATAGTGAAATCTCAATATGAAAAAGTGATGTTTTGTTGTAGTAAATTATTTACAAATATATTCTGTGTTGTGGGAACACCAGATTCAATTTGCTAAAGGTCCAAGGTCACAGTTAACACTTTTAAAATAAAACACTTGTAATTCAGAGGTTTTAGAGGTCTCATGAATCAGGTGACAGATTTAGATAATATTTACACCATGATACAACAAAATAACTTTCAACACTTGACTGGATTTTGGTAGTTATTTGTCAAGTTTTATAGGGGTCAAAGGTTACATATGACCAATTTTAAAATTAAAAGTTTGAGGGTAAGACACCTCTTGAATCCCTTGACAAATTTGGATCATATTCACACCATAGTATCGCTCTATCAAGTTCTATACCTGATTTGACTCCGATGGTTATTGGTCAATATTAAAAGACCAAAGGTCAAGTTGACTTCTTTTGAAATAAAGGGCTTTAGTACATGTCCTCTCATGTTACCCCTCAAATGAGATTTAATTAATATTCACACCATAGTATTACATATCTTAACACTAGATCAGAATTTGGTGGCCGTCAGTCAAGGTTAAAGTGTCAAAGGTCACACTTGACAACTTTTGAAACAAAAAAAAAATGTATGAATTTTATTATACCTATTAGAATCCTGCTGTTTAATGTTGGGTTTAATTGGCTAGGGATGGATGTTGAATTTTGTATTACTAAACAATGAGCTTTAGTTGTTTTACAGTGTCTAATTATACAATGTATTAGAGTGGTTACAAATAATAAAGTTATAAAACAAGGATTATTTCATCAGATATCCATGTTTAGCTTAATTTTGGGCTATAAATTGTGGATAATTTAGATAACAGACTGGCTCAACCTCCCAGTTGTGTACATTGTGTTTAAACATTAGTGTATTGGTTGGTTAAGTGGGGTCTACATATTTCTAACCAGGCTTTGGCAGCCCTGCCACAACATGTTGGTACATGGAGATAAACTTGTAGATACAGGTTGATAGATGTAGTCAGGCTGCAATGTAAGAATCGTGGCAGAGAAACCTCGATGAAATAATAAGTACATTCTATCTAATCACAAACTGATCACTGTATTTTAATAGGATCGTTATTTCGTGAATATGATTTCATCTGTTGTACGTGACAAAACCTTGAACTTGACCTTATTACAGTATTTACAGAGTTCTAGCTTTTTGTTTAGTTTTTTAAAATTAATTTTTACTTCACACGGCTTGTCTTTTGGGTAGTACAGTTATCAGTTTTATTAACTCAACACATACACAGAATCAGAGAGGGAGAGGGAGAGAGAGAGAGAGAGAGAGAGAGAGAGAGAGAGAGAGAGAGAGAGAGAGAGAGAGAGAGAGAGAGAGAGAGAGCTGGAACTTCACTCTTTGGACAAGGGTTCACCAAGATGTGTTGAGTATGAAAAGTAGGTCATTGTGACCAACATCTTCACCTTTGTTCATAAAAGGAATATTTGTCCTACACTATTGTCACAAGAACTGCATACTTGGGACATAGATGTTCTGTGTCATGTATCAAAAATAGGTCTCTCTGACCTTCTTTTTGACCTACATAAAAAAAACATTGGCTGTGCTCAGCCTCCTACACTGCTAGGAACTTTGAGATATAGACGCTGTGTGTCATTTATTAAAAGTAGGTCTCCCTGACCTTCTTTTTGACCTACATAAAAATATTGGCTGTGCTCAGCCTCCTACACTGCTAGGAACTTTATACTTGAGTCATGGGTCAACCAAGATGAGGCAGCATTGTTTACCAGAAGTAGGTCATTGTGACCGACATTTTGACCTTCAATATACATGTAGGTACATCAGATGAAGAAGAAACAGACTTGTCCATCAAACAAGATGTATATTTCTGAATTTATTCACTTTTATACTACCAAACAGTTTTATATTAACTGCTATGGAGTACTTGGTGTCACCAAATGGGATTTACAAATGATTCAGAATCTTCTGTATACATCCAGTAGCTTTATCTGCTATACTAACAATGACACTATTTCTCATTGAATATGGTGGGTTTGTCAAATATTCAGTGCCTAGAATTAATTTGGTGCAAATTCTTCATCTAAGCATTCATGGCATGTAATTTCACAGTCGGTGGGGGACTCAGCAGATGGTGTGTTTTGCATATACTTCAGCATTATGTTGGACCAGCTATAATTTCAAAAAGCATTGGAGTATGCTATTCAGAGCTGTATCTTTTTACACAACATATTGAATTGAATACATCAGTAATATTTTCTTTTAAGATAAAGTACAATATTGTTATTGAAACAAAACGGAGGAAAAATAACGAAATATTTGTGAAAGAAATACGAAGTGAGTGAAACTTAAAATTTTAAAAAATTTGTGCATGAATTTCTGTAGATGATATGTTAAAAGGAACTGTTTTACTAGGTATCGGTACAGCTGATGGATTCATTTGAAATTCATGTAATTTCATTCATTTGCAATTCCTGTACTTCTTGTGTTATTTGCAATTCACGTGTTCCAAGTCTCTGTGACTGCACGGTAGAATCTGAAGATGATTGAGAACACTTCTGAACTGAGGCTTTCGTCCTCTCCGATAAGTATATTAGTGTTTGGTGGTGTGTTAAATCTGTGATTGTAGAAGGAGATCTTATTACACAAGATATACACAGGAAGTCCAATCCTATCAGGCTGATGTGGAGGCGGTCACAAGTACTGTAGATGTTCATTATTGCCTTATGTATCTATGAACTTTTAAAGGATTGGTGCTATGTCGCTAATTGGTAGTCGAGCAGCCATAAACTGCACCGTGTAAAAAAAAATGTGAAAAATTTGTAGACTCTGGTCAGAAAGAGTACATCCATTCACATTCCTTACTATAAGAAGAGTCACTTCGTAAGGAATTTCACAATCAATACAGATTTGTATGCCGAAAATATTCATTCGATGACGAGAATGTTGGCAGGATTTCATTGGTATGAAGTGAAAAGTTACTCCTATGAAATACATTCTTAATATATATTAGTATATATATACAGTAATATTTCTTAAAGTTGTTAATTTTGAAATTCGATGGTTAAATAATCTTTCAGGAAAAGTGTTATTAAGTTATACAGTGTTTACAATTTCTGTTGAGATGATGATAGGATTTTTGTTTTTAGGGGGGGGGGGGGGGGGGGGGGAAGGATATTCTGAATTCGGGTGGACAAGAATATAAAGAGAGTGAAAAAAGATATAATCTGTTTGCTAATTCTAATTTATCCACATTAGCATAGCAAACAGATTTTATGATGGAACATTTGTTATGGAACAACTCTGTTTTGGTCCCTGAGGTGAAAGAAAGGGGACTGGTGACATCATTGGTTCTAAGACACTCTGTTTTGGTCCCTGAGGTGAAAAAAAGGGGACTGGAGACATCATTGGTTCTTCAACACTCTGTTTTGGTTCCTGAGGTGAAAAAAAGGGACCGGTGACATCATTGGTTCTAAGACACTCTGTTTTTGTCCCTGAGGTGAAAAAAAGGGGACTGGAGACATCATTGGTTCTGAAACACTGTTTTGGTCCCTGAGGTGAAAACAAGGGACTCAGAACATCATCGGTTCTGAGACAGAATAGAGGTATGATACAGTAACTTGTGTTGTTGGTGACTGTAATTATTCCATCTAACCAAGACTGGTACATAATTATTCATGTTTGTTTTGTGGCTTTGTATGTTCTGGTCAGACGAGAGACCGCTAAGATCTGCTAATGTCTTGTGCATTTTGTTTGAAGCGTGCTGACTGATTTATGACCATTGTCAGTCTTTAGTCTGATGACCAGGCAGGATTCCCACACACACATATTGATTATATGTTACCACAGTTTACCATAACAACCAATACTGTGACAGATTCACAAGAGTTCAATATTGTCTCTGGTGGCAATATATTTGACAGAAACTGTTGAATCTTTCTTCGTGGATCTCAATGACATGTGTAGGAACAACTTTAATAATGTGATGTTCACACTGGTGTTATTCAATGGTTTGATCCTCACCTGACTTTTTGATCAATATTTCGACCCTCAGATCAATTCTACCATTGATCAATGGTATTAGATACATAGAACAAGTTACCTGATCTAACAATGTATGACACTTATTGATCAAAAAGTCAGCTGATTCATTATGATATGTACAAATAGGTCGATGATCAAACCCAAAACGGAGTTAGAGTTCAGACAATTCTGAATTATGTGGTGTCCAACCCCCAGGATATTGTGGGGTCTGGCCAAAAAATTAGTCAAATTGGTAAAAACGTAAAACATCTTCTCCAGACCCAGATATGGTAGAATCAAATACACTTCACAGTTTATGTAGGAAAATAGTAATTATTAACACAAGATGGCAGTCAATGTTGTCCCTTTTAACCCACATCAATCATTATCCGATGGACAACTGCTCAAATCACCCTACCAAGGTTTGTGGTCTGTTCTCCATCCATCTGTCCTTTGTCAGTCTTTAAACCATTCTTGTTATTGCTGGTTTTTGAGAAATGCTGAATGGTTCTTTATCAAATTTCTAATTTCCCCTTGGTCCATAGTTGTGCTGACAGGCAGCCAACTTGGATTTTTTATGTAAAGCGCTTTAGTGTAATCCTAACGAATTAGATAAGGCGCTATATGAATTAAGTATGTTATTATTATTATTATTTTAATGATGAAAGTTTGTTATCGCTATTTCTTGAAAAATACTGGATAGATCTTAAGGTTTTTATTGGTCTCTAGTTTGTGTACTTTTGATTTTGGGACATCAGAACAACAATTTGACTGACAGGCAACCGGCAATCTTGGATTTTGATAGTGAATGGCTCTTTACTGGTAGTCCTGGAGAAGTAATGAGTGGAACTTTCTCAGATTTCATAAGAAGGTTTTCCGTGGTCTCTTGTACCCATTTGATTTTCGGACTTAATGAGAAGACAAAAAGGCTGACAGTTAATCGTTTATGATCTTGACAATGAAGTTTTGTTATCGCAATTTCTTTAGAAGCACTGGATGGATCTTTCTCAAATTTCATATGTAGGTACCTCACGGTTGGTAGTCATGATATTTTGATATTGGAAACTGATAAGAAAAACTAAATGACAGACAAATGAATGTCAGGTCTTAGCTAAACTCCATTTTGAGGGTGGTCGGGTGGCGCAGTGGTAACGCACTCACCTTTCACCTAACCGATTCCCGGAACGGACGTGAAAAGGTAAGGGGTCACCTGCCCGACCATGTGGGTTTTCCCCGGGTACTCCGGTTTCCTCCCACAAGAAGACCCCTCACGCTTACATCCGGACCAACAGGAGTGATTAGTATAAGTTGACATAACTTGTTTCACAATTGTTGTAAAATAAATAAAGTTTATATATAAACTCCATTGGTTAAATTTTAAACGGAGGTGAAAATGTAACACCCCCAAATTCACAAACACTAAGTCCAGAACAACTCAGGGTTATTTCAACTTATTATTACTATCACTTTTTCTCAACAGGAAAATTCAAATCATCAATATAAAGCGAGAACAAAGGAAATGGTAGAAACAAACTTTTAAGGAAAGACCGACCAATTGGAAGGGTCGGATGCATCACTTTGGGATCGGATTTTATTTTGTGCATTTAAATTAATTTGAGCTTTAACAGTAACAATATGAAGTTAGATTGAAAAGTATAAATTTCATCATTTCAGATCTCTGACGTATTTCTAATTTTGTAGTTACTGTTACAACTCCAGGAACATTGTTGTGATATGCTCTGACAGATTGGTGTTGGCAAGATAAATCTGCCTCTGTGATTAAGAGCAAAAATGTCCATTTAAACTTTTAAACCGAGACTCATCTGATTTTATGCATCAACAGGGTTATTAGCTTTGTTTCTTCTCCTTTATAAAGCATGTAACATATGAAACACTTTAACATGTATGTAATATAAGATTTTTTTTTCTTACAGGAATTATATGCTCAAGGCAGAGCTGATGACCGAGACAAATTGCTGGAATTTACAGTGACGAAACCAAGGAAACCAGATTTCAGAGATGAAGAAAGTCATTGTGATGTTTTAACTCTGTGTTCAGTAAACCTTGGTGGTACCTACTGTTAATGTCCAACTACATGGACTCACTGCATGTAGGATACATTGGTTAGACCAGTCATTGGGCCACCAAATATCAGAGTAATGATGAACTTGTGTGGAGTAGGATCCTGGTGATAAGGCTGGGTCAGTAGACACGGTACCTTAGTCAATAACGGTCGCAAGTGTTTCGTTACTCTGATTATGAATGCCGGTCTCCCAGGTGAGACATTTGTGATAAGAACCATGTATGGTAATCCACTGGGCATCATTATCAACAATACAGATGAAAGGATGTATGCATTACAAGACTGCCATTTTTACATGGATCAAGACACATGTTATATAAATCCTCACCTGTAAGTGCCATGATTGACTTTGCTCCAATGGAAAACACAACATCTGCAAAATGTGGATCTTTGCTGATGGAAACCTTGAAAAAGGACATGGTTACCTCCCCTGACTTGGAAATCTCCACAGTGCATCCTACCAAAGATGCCAATGATGCACTGTTTTACATCATTACCGTGCTGCTGTTTTATGCATGTAGCATAGTGATTCTCATGGTGAAGTACATACGACGAGAGAGACAGGAAGCAGAGTTCAGGAGTTATTACCATGACTACGTCATACGGGACCAATTCCGCCAGCCCCAGTATCAGAATTTGGCGTATATGTGCCACTTAATGAAACTACCTTCAAAGGGTTGCAGTAAAATATCTCCGAATTTTAAAATGCTTTCAAAAGAAAATCATAACCAAGGTTATATTGATAATTCAGAAGTGAAAGAAAAGTTATTTAATGAAACTCCAGTTTAGAATTACGTACAGAAAAGAGACATGACTTGCATATGTTCTATATCACATTTACACCCAAGTTTCTATTGCTGTTGTGGTCTGTGATGCAAACAGACAAGAAGGTATTTTTTCATTAAAACACTTAAGATTGCAGTCATTATGCATGTGCATATGTGATATCTATTTTTGGGTCAGTGTTGTCTTGTATGTGCTGAAAACTCGAAATAAAAATCCTACATTAATACCGAGTTCATGTTTGGCCTTTTTCAGACTATAAAAGGAAATATATGTGTGCTGAAAACTTTAACTTAAAATCCTACAGTGATTCTAAGTTCACCAAGTTCTAAGGAAATATATCCCTGCATGTTGAAAGGACCTGAGTTTTTCGAGTTTGGGTTGAAGATGTTTTCAAAAAACCTATTTGAAATTAGTGAATTTCTAATGTAAGGAATATACAAATGTTTCTTTTTTTTAAATTCAGAATTGTCTCATAGGATGTACAGATACAACAAGTTATTAATGCTTGTTGTCACTGTTACATCTAACTAGGGAATGTCAACTGTTCTCTCCCCTTAACTGTAGTGTCCTGTCCTTACAAATTCACCAAACTTGAATGTCACTTTGTCCTTCCCACACTCTACATTCCTATATTTGTGTATTACTAGTAGAAACTAAAACTTCTCTATATAGAGTTAAAATATTGCTTTCAGTTGATCAAAGTCTTATTGCTTACAACCCAAAATTGTTTGATCTTTATCATTTTTGTTCTTCAAAATCTAATCTTTTCCCCCATCTTTTTTTTTTGGTCCTAGTGATATCAAATTTGAAAATTCCTCAAGAAATGTTGATGAAAATCTTATTCATCCCGAAATCATAAAGGCATGGGGCAGGCTGTTAGCCGTTAGGGACACAGGACAGACTGTTAGCCGTTAGGGACACAGGACATACTGTTAGCCGTTAGGGACACAAGGCAGACTGTTAGCCATTAGGAACACAGGGCAGGCTGTTAGCCATTAAGGACACGGGGCAGACTGTTAGCCGTTAGGAACACGGAGCAGACTATTAGCCATTAGGCACACAGGGAAAGTTGTTAGCCATTAGGGCCTTTGGGCAGACTGCTATTAGGACCTTAGGGGAGGCCTTCAGACATTTTGTTTTAAGTTTCAACAGAGTTGCCACATAGGTGTTAATTTTCAGGCGGTGTCAAAACCTTAAACTGTTCAATAAAATAACAAGTGCCATTGTCACCAAAGCTGCTTTATGGTTATAAGCAAGAGCATCTCATTTTCAAATTTTGAAAGCTGAATTGTTTTGTAACTGTAAGTTTTTTACTCCTACCATTAAAGGCAAGATGTCTGTGTTCATCAACACACCAATGTTTAGTCTTAACCCATCAAAGCTACATTGTATGTGTTGTTGTATGGATGAACATCCATTCACTTGTTAGGTCACAAGAGCATAGGTCTTAATGACCTAAATCGGTCATCGCTCATCTGTTAACCTTTTAGGTGACCAAACGGTCAAAATAACCAATTGCTGCCGTCAGGGCAACCATTTCTTTGATTTGAAATTTTATGGTTTCAGGGACAGGGTCATGGCCCCTAAAAAGTTCGGCTAAGGTTATACCAACATTACTCCCAACATGTCTTGAAGAATTTGGACTGAATAATTTTGAATTATCCCTAATGAAAAACAATCCAGTCATATCTTCATAAAGGTGATCGGACAACTGGAAACAGGTCTTCACCTCAACAAACATTTTGTTTTTAAACGATAAATTCTTCAATGCTTGAATGAATTTCAATCAATTTGCTTGAAACAGGTCAAGGGAAATGTAATCATTTCTTATAGAATGGTTCGATTTTCAAATGACAATCACCATAATTGGCCTCGCCCAATTAGAAGCTAACATTAACACCAGACTGTGGACCGAGAAACATCTGGTCTGAATATACGCCACTGAATAGCACCAACACCTGGACATGTTTCCACCTGATAACTGTAATGGATAATGGCCTTGTGACCAGCCAGCAGAGTTATAGCCCTTTGCAGTTTTATTACCATGATGATAACTTATCAACAGATTTTGTTGAAACTTGGTATGACCAGTTTAACAATGGGAGCAATTCAATGTTAATTCACACTATTATGGCTGTTTGCAATTTTATTACTTTTGAACATTGTAAACATGATTACTTCAGTAAATATGAATGGATTTTGCTGAAACTCAATATGCAGACTTGTATCATTAAGATTTGTGTTAAATTCAACAATGGCGCTGAATCAAAGTCACTTCCAGTGGCTCTGCAGTTTATGTTTGATTGAGATTAGTCAGGTGATCGTTTAGGACCAGGGCCTCTTGTATTTCTGTTATAGCATTTCTACTAAGCTGTTAACATTGTCAGAACTGGTTCCCTGATCTCAATCATATTCTAGAATCAGTATGACCTAGTATTTAAGTTTCAATTTAAAACTACTTGGAATCCCCAGTCTGTTCGTCTTTCTATCTGTCCTTTCATGCCTTTCATATTAAAGACATTGTAGCCGCATCATCCAGCAAAAGCGTTACAACTGATATGTACTGAATAAGTAGGAATAAAGACACATTGCAATGTAAAATCTTATATTTCTGACAAACAAGTCGTACATGTATGACAGATAAATGAAAATGGTGTTTTAGAAAGATTCATCCTGATTCATAATACATGTAGTTCATAGCATATTTGGCAAATGTTTATTAAAGTTTCTTAAAATCATTGTTTCTTGGCCCATTATTTCACAACAATAAACATTTACTACAGAACTAAGATATTCAGTCTCTAACAGTGTTTATCATATCAAGTTGAACAACAAAGAAAAATATTTTATTTAATTGAGAACATCAAACATTCTTGTCTTGGTTAATCCCTGTTTTTAAAAATGTTGTTATCAGTTGATCCAACAATTTACGGTAGTTTCCTCACGTGGATCTATTTATAGGATTCAATGGAGTTCCTTAACAAAAAAATATAATCTCACAAAACGTCTCCGTTGTATTCGGTTGATTTGGATACAACCTCTGATAATATTATCAATACATTGAATATTATCTCGAATGACTAAGCCTCCAAGACAACGAGAGAGTCTGTGGGATGGAATAATATATGCCCTTTCCATGCCAAGGAAATATTCACGAGAAAAGGCAACTTTTTGAAATATCTCATGCTGTGGTTTTAAAGCCTACCCAAGTTTCAAAGGAAGTTCGTTAAAAACTAAGGTAGGAGATATCTGGACAAGGTAAAAATGTTAAAAAAGACAAAGAAAGGAAACCCAAAGGGCTTTATCGTTTCCCAAAATTATAAAATCACAAAGCAAATAAGGAAAATACTCTTTCATGTAATGGTTTTAATAAGGCCTACCAAGTTTTGAAAGATATCGGTTGAAAACGGAGAGATCTCATTGGACAACATTAACACTATGACAACAAAGGAGAGTAACTCTTCCAAATACAGTAGAATTAACCAGCAGTTCAGGAAAACACAGCTTTGTGTTGTGGTGATTAAGTCTACCAAGCTTGGAGAAGATTGGTTGAAAACAATGGGAGAAAGATCTGCACAAGAGGGACAGATGGACAATGCCATACCATTGTAGATGTCCAGTCAAAAATTTAGACTAGCAAACATATATTGTAAAAAGAGAAATAAGGAAAAAATTGGTGAAAAATTCAAATATTCTTATATTGAATTAAATTGTATAAGCTTTATTGAAGTTATGTAGACAAAAGAGGTGGATCAGACGATGTTCTTGCTAATTTCAATAATCCAGCAAGACATTTATCAATTTTCTATTACCGATAACTTTGACCTGATTTTTGTTGTATACCCTGTGATCGAATTCTTTCTTTGTTGTTACAGTAATTACACTTTCCGCAGAACAAAGTTTTAAAAATTCTGAATTATTTTAATATCAGGAAATCCTAAAAACAAATATTTTCCAAAAAAAATATATATATATATATCGCTGAACAAGCAGAAAACTTGACGTATACATCAAAGTACATTATTTATGAAAAGTGTCCAAAACGTTAAAATTAAAGAAGTTCCCACTCTCAATGAATGCCAAACTTATTAGTTATCACACTCATATTCTGCCTTGAATGGAATGAAACATTCTAAAATCTAACTAAACAAATTTGACTTTTAAAATACTTTTACTTCCAACACGTTTCTGTCACATCATGACAATAAAAACCATCAATATGTTTAACTTTGCATTGCAATCTTAGATTCATAATCAGGTAAGACTCCTTCAAAAGGTTATTATTGCATAATATAAATAAACAATTTTGTTACTCCGCATTCCATTCCACATTTATTTCTCTTTCAGAATATCTACTTCACAAATAGATATGACGATCAACTTCAAATCACTTTTACAGTTTGAATGAACACCAAAAAGCAAATTCATGATAATTCTCAATAAAGATTTTGTAACTTTTGTGGAAATATAAGTAAGACAACCCCCCATTAAAAGTTGAGTTCCATAAATGTAACCCCGGTAAAAACCCCGGTAAATACCAGCCGTTGGTAAGCCTGCAATACTCCACCTGGCTAGAGAGATCTTCACTTTATCAGTTGAATGTAATATTAGTGAAGCAGAGCTCCGAGGTTTGGAGTTCAAGCAGAGGTATTTCAATAAATAATGACCTCTGTTATATAAAAGTTGTTTTTTCGGCATAACAAGAGACAAGAATGAAAGAGTCCTAATAGAGTTTATAACAACGCATTAAATATCCACAAGTGCTATAATCTTCTACACTACATCAAATGCTGCCCATGTTTTCACTGTTAATTACACCCTCTCTTATGGAAAGTTATAGATTTAAAAAAAGTACACTGGAATATTATTCTACAGCCAAACCTTAAAAAGGCTTTTACAGCTACAATACACAAACTACACATAGCATCCTTCTAACAGACATATATAACAAAGACCATTACAATGTATTAATGTAAAAATGTACACATTGATGGGTATTTACATGCACGTATGACACATTTTTCAAACACTTAAAATGACATTGTAATAAAAAAATAAAATTGGTATTCAAGCTATGACCAGCTTGGCATTACTGTAGTGAAGTTTCTTTCATAAATAGTGTATGTCCTTCATGTAAACAAATTTTCTTTATAAACAAACAATCTATTGAATGTAATGGTGATGTTGGTAATTTTTTTTTTTTTTTTTTATCTATTCACGAAATTTCTTCTGTGACATGAAAAGTTAAATGTCTGAGATATTGTAGACTACAAGAAGTCATTATTAACTGTCACCTCTATATTATATAGATACAATAATAAAAAAATCTCACAACATAACAGGTGCTTGTTTGGTGGAATAGAGATCAATTAACAGTAAATCCTCTACAGCCTGAAATCAGAAATAAAAAAAAATCATTCCCATTTATGTATAATTGTGTTTCCTGTCCATTACTTCCAGGTTTACTTTTGTTCAAATTCTATAGATGGGCACCTTGGTTAGCCTGGAGTCCTGCACTCCTGAACTTATGTTGCACATATACAATGATGAGCTGTACATGGCAAACTCAATATTGCAATGAAAATTAAAAAAAAATAAATCTGATAGATATTAATTGGATAAAAAAAATATTCAAAATATCTTAAAATGCACAATTTAACAGATCAAAATAGACATCATGTTCTCTTCAGTCATGTTCACAATATCAACACAAGTATCAAATTTTTCTGAGTTCTCCCTGTCTTTTTTTAGTTTTTGAGGTAAAGAAATTTGAATTTTACTTAAATTTTATTAAATCATCAATGTTTTTAACTTAAAAATTAACTGCAAAATAAAAAATATATCTCGAGTGCTCTGGATTCTAAAAATGTTCATACATTCATAGTATGATGTTTTACAATATAAATCTGATATTGGCACATAAAATGTTTGTTTTAAAGATGTATGGTTTTCCCATGTATCTGGTGTGTGAAATCTGATCCCATCGCTTCAAACATCAGACACAGAATTCTGTTTTAATTCCACCCAGAAGTAACTGTTAATGTAGTATGATTATCCCAACACATTGCCACTCTAACTAATTCCCCTGAGGCGATGAAGATAGACATGACATGGTTAAAGAGATATGTGAAGACAGACAGTCATCAGTGAAGTTATCTAGATATCTGTTTAAGTCCCTTTTCCCTATCCTGGGGCTGTAACTCCAACAATGTTGTGGGACGTGGATGGAGAATCTTCATAGTGTTATGACCAACAGTGACCTCTCAAACGAACCATCATGTGATTAACTGTGGAAGTAAAAAACATACATTTGTATCATTAAAATTGTGAAATAAACTCAAACTGTTGGCAATTTCTTTAACATTAATAAAGCATGATATCTATTGAGTCACAAGCTATATATAAGCACAGGGCTCTCGATCTGCCAGATTTGGGGCCAATATTCGGCCCCATTCCCAATGCAAAATAGTATCTTTTTTTCCCAATTTAGACCCCAAGTTCTCCCAATTCTAAGGAAAACACCATTATTTTTCCCAATTCTAAGGGCCCTTGGCCCCAGTCCCAAAATGGGATGTGAGAGCCCTGAAGCATCATCTTTGCCTTTATATATGTTTCCAGTTTGAAAATAATGGGACTATTCCGGTAAAATATGACTCCTCGACTCAGAACTAAATCACTACTATGCCTGATACTTCTAAGCAAATTGTCATTAAAATTCAATGGGTGGTGCCCCGAACACCTGACCTCCTCGGGAATGATAGATGTTTTAGTGGAATAGTCCTAAGAAAACTATCAATGACATTCTACAAGTGGTACCACTAAACGAGATGTGGAGACCTCAGGCCTTAACCCTACACAAACTATTGATGAGAACTTGGAATCCTGGAATGGGATGAATGTTTTACTGGAATAAGCCTGAAGCAGAAGTCAGAAGCAAATTGTTGATGAAAACCTGAAATCCAGCATAACATCTACCACACCCAATGTACAGACTGTAGGAAATTAAATCCAAGTCCTCGGGTCGGATAGATGTTTTGCAAGAACAGCCTTGGACAGACTTTATAAATATTCTGTATATTATATATTTTAAAAAATATTTTATTGGTGAATATTCTATTATATCATTCTAAGACAAAATTCACCAGAATCAAACGATACAATATAATTCTGCTGTTTAACCTATCTGTTTCACATCCTATTTCTGTCAATCCAATATTGCTGTTTAACCTACCTGTTTTACTTCCTATTTCTATCAATACCATTCTGATGTTTAACCTACCTGTTTTACTGTCTTCTTAATGTAGTCTTTTCTATCTGTCAGGTCGAATGATGGATATTTCCCATAAACCTAAGAAATGAAACAAAAGCATGAAGATTAAATTCCATTAATGTTAAAAAAAACTAACTCACAAAACAATCTGCATAATTGAATGTGTAATGACTAAGTAATAAGCAATGTTAATGCTCCTGGTTGTCACACTCAACCATCGGACATAAATCTCTTATAAACCCGTGTTCAGTTTGGATGGACAGACAGTTTGAACATCTGATTTTTCAATAAAACATTAATTCTCTCTCTAATGACAGTTCAAATTATATTCAGTGTTCTTTTTTTCACTTCCATTCAAATTGTTCCAATGTCAATTTCAGGCCATATATTACCACACAACTATGATCAGGATGTTGGATTTATTTCATAAGGCCAAATTCCAAAAATATGTAAGTTTACTCTTTAAAATTTCCTTCCCAATTGATCAATTTCCTTCCCAAATGAGATTAAACAGCTATTTTCCCATTGAGTGGAAAAAGGCTGTGGATGTGATGGAAAGCAAAACGAGATTTACGATTAAGGATGAAGTCAGAAAAAACAATCATTACGGGTGTTGACACATTTCTCACACCATTATCTTTACATATAGATAGTTTCTTGTTAGCATGATTTTAACTTTACTTTGACAGTTCAAATCAAAAATTGTTTTGACATCGTTTTATTCTGAATAACTTGAACAGGTTCAAAAATGTAGAATTTTGTTTCAACTGACAACTGAGATTAACTATTTTCAAAAATACAGAACAGTCTTGAATTTACAATGACTTGCATTATCAGTTTACAAATAATTTCTAAAACCTATGTAACTTATTATCCAGAACAATTTGAAATTGTTAATTTAAATATTTATTTTCTTACCTCTTTAATAACTGATTTCATTGTGACCTCTTCAAGATTAGCTTTGTCTAGGATTTTCTTTATCAGTGTCTTCAAGTCATCATTCTATAACAAGAACATCAATGATAATGCAGTCGATGTATTTATAAAACTGACACAGAATTTATAACATAACAATGCAGATACCCTCCTGTAAAATTACATTCCCTCAAACACCGTGTTCCTCTTTTACCTCTGTGACAAAGAACTGGTAACTCCTCTACCTCTGTGACAGTGTACCCTTAACTCCTCTACCTCTGTGACAGTGTACCCTTAACTCTTCTACCTCTGTGACAGTGTACAGTTAACTACTCTACCTCTGTGACAGTGTACCCTTAACTCCTCTACCTCTGTGACAGTGTACCCTTAACTCCTCTACCTCTGTGACGGTGTACCCTTAACTCCTCTACCTCTGTGACAGTGTACCCTTAACTCCTCTACCTCTGTGACAGTGTACCCTTAACTCCTCTACCTCTGTGACAGTGTACCCTTAACTCCTCTACCTCTGTGACAGTGTACAGTTAACTCCTCTACCTCTGTGACGGTGTACCCTTAACTCCTCTACCTCTGTGATAGTGTACCCTTAACTCTTCTACCTCTGTGACAGTGTACAGTTAACTACTCTCCATCTGTGACACTGTACCCCCTTTCCTTCTACCTTTGACAGTGTACAGTTAACTTCTCTCCATCTGTGACAGTGTACCCCCTTTCCTTCTACCTTTGACAGTGTACCCCCAGCCTCCCTTTACAACTTCTGATACATACTGTTGGGGGTGACGGTTTTGCCTTCTTTTGAAGTGGTTCATCATCCGAATCATCACTTTCATCCGAGTCAGAGTCAGATACAACTGGAGCTGCAACTGATTAACAAAAGGACCATCTATTAATTTATTAACCACGAAAGAATAAGGTAATTCAACGCATTTAAGTAAGCAAATTTCTGAAGACTTTTTACAATAAGTTTTCATAAAACATTATTTAAAGCCTCTCTATGTTTTCATTTTATTACAGATGTTACGCAAGGATTGATGTATAAAATTAAACTTGAAGGAAATTAAATGAAGTAATCCCCATATGGGATGATGATGCTTAGTTGGATTAAGATTTATTTGTATAAATAAAAACATGGAGACGTTTTAAGATAAAATATGATTTGATAAGCTTTTCCATAACTCAACTCTACAGATAGTTGAACACTTTCATACAGGTTTACCTTTTTTGGGTGTAACCTTTGGTTTCTTTGTCTCTTTCTTGACAGCTGGTTTTTTAGCTTTTTTTTCTTTTGGAGATCTTTTCTTTGGAGTTTCTATTTTTCTCTTTTTCTTTTTAGGGGCCTGCAAAATGAAATGAGGTCACTAAGAATGATATTACGACAAACACCAGGACACTGGACTTGTGGGATATTGAAAAGAATAAGTTTTAACACAAATGACCCCTGTAACACTGTAAGTGGTAAAGATTGCACCCTTGCAGTCCTACAACCCAATGTGAGACTAGTCTTACATCATGATTCTTGACCTCTCAATTATTAAAAGGTTGTTTGAAGATCTTAAAACATTTGACCCGTGAACTTGATGGTGGGTCAAGGTAATTCATTTAAACAAATTTGGTAGCTCCCTCATCCCTGAAAAGCTGTATGCCCAATATCAGTGCCCTGAAGTTTCTTGTTATTGGGAAGAAGCGTTTGAAGATTTTAACAATGGTGACTTTGAAGGTGGGTCAAGATCATTCAATTGAACAAACTTGGTACACTCTCGTTCCAGCATGCTAAAGGCCTGATACTAGAACCCTCTGTCTTTCTGTTACTGGACAGGCAAGTCAAAAACTGACAGCTGGAAGTAGATGTATCTAACTGTTTTAACCTGTTTCATCAAATCAAACTCATTCATGACTTTTCTTGTTTTCATGTAGTGTGAAATATCAATCTTTCTCACTTTGACATAAGATCATAATTTGCACTGATTTCCAAATTTCTGTATGCAAGATATATAAAGATGTAGCATGACTTGTTGGCATACTCTCACCTTAAGGAGGATTGACTGAAGTATGTTGCGGTCTTTGTCCAACATTTTTTTGTAGACTTAAACATTTAGCACACAGTTACAAACTACTACTTCATAACAGACATTGGAATGAGCTGGTCAAAGTTGTAAAGTGTACAGTCTTTAAGTAAATTATCTCCCCTGCGCTGTGCCATAAAGCTGTATTTCTCAGTTTCCTTTTTATAGCCATAACAAGACCATTTCTGCTGAATGATGTTTTGCCATCCAGCTCTGATTCATCTTAATGACTATAATTAAAATTGACCTGGTTTATGTAATAAAACGTTATTTACGGAAAGTGTGTACAACTTTCAAGTCAATTTGAGATTAAATTTGCTGATTCTCAAAATCGACACCAGATTTTCCCTCTTTTTTTTTTTACCTGATGTGTAGACCTTATCAATCTTAATTTCAATTTTAAAACTTTCAGTTGGATGTCCTAAGATTTAACTATTTTGAAATTAGATTTATTGGCTGCATTGATTTTTCTGAGAAACCAATATGAAAACCAATTCTTATTGTTCAGTGTGGACTCTTAAGAGAACAGCAACGCTGAAGTCTCGTTTCAACTTTATACTTTCGTTGTAGCAAGACAAAAACAATGACAGCAACACATGTTACAGGATACCCCATACAACTTCAAATATTTTGATAAGAGCTGAAGAGATTGCAGAAGGCAGGCAATGGACTCCAGAAATAATTAGAGATTTAGCTTTCTGATCAAAGTAACCAAAGCTTACTTTTACTGATCAATATGTAATAATCTAAAGTTGTTATAAATGTATATATGTACCATACTTTCAACAGTCATTAGCAGGGTTTTCCATAAGAGCCGGTCGCTGGCCAATTTGACCGGTTACTTTGCTCATTTGGCTGCCTACACCAATCCAGTTCCGTAATAATGTTCCGTACACGACTACACGTACATGGCAGGCCAGCCCCCTACTTTCACTACACAGCCTACTACTAACAAAATTACGGAAAACCCTGCATTAGTGATCCAAATATCTGCCTGCTTACCTCCTCCTCCTCTGATTCCTCTTCCTCACTTTCTGACTTTTCAGATTCCTTTTCCTCTTCTTCCTCATCCTCGCTATCCTCCACACTCTCTTCTTCATCCTCATCTTCATCATCCTCATCTTCTTGTGCTTTTTTAGCATTCTTTCTCCTCTCTTCCATCTCTTTTTTAGATGCTCTTTTTCTTTTCACGCCCTTCTCTTTCTTTGCTCCAGGTCCCCCTGTTTTCGACATTGAAAAAGCTTGAATACATATTGTGTATCACATAAAGCTTGCATATTTCGTCACACGACTGGTCAGTTCTACCAGGATATAAGCCCATGCTATGGATATTGCAAATCATTTAATAACACAATTGTGGTTTCAAAATTACAGCTGAACCCACTTACATCAAATTTGGACATTGAAATACTGAATTATTGAAAAGAAATCAAAATCCTTGTCCTAATGCCTTCTTTGTCTTTGTAATTTATATATTAGTTAATTTGAAATATTTGTTTTAGCAAAGAAAGTTCTGTCCCAAAGCAATTTTAAGTCATCGTAATCCTACAGCTTACTCTGAAGACAGATATGTTCAGCCTGTCAAGTATTGGAGATGAGGTGTGCATCCATTATATAGCTGTATTAATCGCGTAACATCCATCAGGATTATTATAGGAGCTGCATGAATATATTGGCAGAATTTTGTGAGAAATTCTTCAATTTATTGTCCATCCAAAAAAAATGTAAATCAATTGATGAAAATAACCCTAAGAAATTAAGATTAGATCTGATAATCGTTATTCACTCACTTATATGTATAACATCTGTAAGTACACTCAAAGATATGGGCTGAACAGATCTCATGTTTGTTTGTCAAGGTCATAGCTTTGAACAGCAACGGTCATTTTCAGGTGGCCGGTGGTGGCTACCTCATTGCACAACATACCAGAGGCCCCTCCATTGCCATTCACAGCAATTGGGGCAAAGTATCTTGCTCAGGGACACAAGTTAGCCATGACAGCTCAATTTGATCTGTTTCTCAACTTCATGAGAAACACAATCTAGCAAATGTAGGAAGTGTTGAGCCACACTCTGGATCTACTTTTGTGTAGGTAATTGTGTAGGTAAACATTCTATCAACTGTCCTGAACAAGTGCTCCCATTTCCCTGTATATCAGTAACATTGTTTGATAAATTCACTGATTTTTGTGCCAAAGATCTTTTGAGTCGTTGTCCCATGCTTTTCCTATGGGACTCACTCAAATTTTGGGAACCCACAGGACTGATACCGGTAACATTACATGCCCTCCCATATATTTGTAGGGGTATAAGGAAGATTGCTGACTATATCTAGTGACTTAACACTTAAAGCTTTATAAAACAAAATATTACAAATCATGACTCACTTTTTCGTTTTGGTTTGGGCACTTTTTTCCCTGAATCTTTTGGTGCCATACAAAAAGTCATTAATCGTTCAATGACCTGTTCCTTTGATCCCTGTCTTTCTAGATCCAATATTCCACACAGCTGCTTTAACATTGCCATTGTATATCTACAAGAGAAGTATCTGACTAAATGAACAAAAATAAAAACATATTTATGAACATGCTACATATTTTTAAACTAACTGCAAATTTTTATTCTACAAACATATTTTCTCTCTCTCTCTCTTTTAATAATTGCAGTGTATAAATCAGATTGGCTGATATGCAATAATGTAAAAATTAAACAGATAATTAAAGATTTATATAAAAATCAAAATCAAAAATGAACATCCAACACATAATGTAAAAAACAAACTTAATATTTGTCGTCAATCGGGGAACACCATTATCAAAAGACAAACGGCATAACACTTTGATTTTTAAAACAAAATATTTCCCAAGTACTCCAGAAAGATTGACCGATGCTTCCAACCTGATATTTATGGGTTTTTTTTTTTTGTTTTTCCACTTTTTTCTGTTTTACAGTTTGATAAAATGAACCCTAAATTAACCACGATGACTCCATAGTGAATTATGTCTAGATTATTAGGAACAATTGGTAACTGAGGATACAGACTTGAGGACATTTTGTAGCCTTTTCAATTTCCTACTTACCTGGCATTTTTGTTAAGTTGCCCAACAGGAGCTTTGACTATAACAAACACATGTTAATAATGAAAATATCTGACCAACATACTTAATAAGGGAAGCTGCTTTTTTCTCGTACTCCTTGTCATCCTTTTCAAAGCTAAATCCATTGAAGTTGCGGAGATTTTTCTTCACAGTATTAGTCTGAAACATGTTAACAAAACAATAAAATGACATCAAATTCACTCAGCCAAATCTTTCCTCAATTGTTATATTGGGATTCAAATCAATATCTTGCAAAACCTGGTTACTAATGTACAAAATGAGATGATTTTCTCTTAAAAGTGAAAGCCTTGTTCTAGGTATATTCCTTCTGGCATCTGTAGAGAGACTGATCAATATCTGGTAGGGAAATCAATAGTGAAAAAATACAGAAAAGAGTTGCGGCCAAAACACAACAGCTTCCTATAAGGTATACCTGCAGATCCAATAATGTAATGTAGGCAGAAAATAAAGACCAATAATATATCTTAACCAATAAAACCAGTAATTCCAGTCAGGTGACCCGACTAGATGGATGCACACACATACCCTGGTTTTACCTATACAGATAAAATTAAAATGCATTAACCTATTCTCATACGTTACAGGTAAACACACATTTTGAGATATGCAGAGACAGTACAAGGACAATGTGATGTAATGCACAGGTGGATATCAAAATATACATAAAAAAAACTAAATGCCTAAAATTTGATACTTCTAATTCATTACAACTTTGATTCATCAGTATGTTCAGACACTACCCTGCCAGATGGATAGAAACAGACATGGACAATCAACAAGAAGCAGAACTTACAGCACCACGTAATCCAAACAAATATCTGTGCAACAATTTTAAATCTTCAGCCTTATTCCTCTGTATCTGCAACTCAACTGAAAAGTAAAAAAAAAAATGTATAAATTTTCTTTAAAATTATTCAAAATAGGAACAAGTAATATGAAAAAAAATAAGCCCAAAAATGTTTTCAGTACATTAATGTATGGAGTACAATTGATGTTATTTAAAGAAATTATTAATTCAAATAAGTGAGTAAATTAATGTGCAGAATTTATTTGTAATTTCACCACCTCACCTGATAGGTATTGTAAATACAACATCATATGAAATTATGAAAAACGAGTAGATGTGACTGTTAACTTAACACTTTTTTTTTTAAATAACCAGTTATCATTGCTGTCTATTATGGTTACAGCAATATAGATATTAAATATTAAAAATGAAAAAAAATCTTATTCAGCAGTTTCAGAGTCACTTAAGTTGTAAAATATTTTTTTGTAATAGTGGGTCATTTACAGAAACGTAAGTATGGTGACTGTAATGTCATCTTAAAGAGATATATAACTGAGAGGTGATGAAGTATAGAATGTTATTATATATTTCTATAGATATATTTATATATATTTTTAGATTTCAATAGAGCTATTGAAGTAAAACATCAATTTGACCCCAGGAATCCAAAATATATTACTTCTACGCATGATTAAGTTTCCTATTTATTTCATCTAAGCAAACTACTCAAATTGTGTGAGTGGTAGACATGTACTCCTAAAAACTGAGGTACTACTAAATAATGAGGTGGGATAGATGTTTTAATGGAATAGCATAGCCCAAATATTAATGTGTCAGCTGACCTATGTGATGTTATAGAGTCACAAAGATGCTCTTAAATTCTCAACCATAATGAAATCACTTTGTAACGATGTTAAGCTGAAAACTTAAATCACCGTTACCTGAGTTGAACTGTTTAACTTGATCATGGTAAAATCTTACCATACTCAAGATATCTGGTTTACCATTCCTGACCTTATATTTGTTCTAAATCTTCTAAATACCTACTTCTGGGACAGTCTCCAAGTTTCAAACCAGCACCATCAAATTCAATCTGCTTCTTCTCTTTTGGTGTTGCATTGCCAGATATATCCAGTCTTTCCACCTTCTTCTTCTGTCTCTTACCGGATTCTATTACAACTGGTCGCTCTAGTAGTCCAACTTTCAAATAAAAAAAAAGTATGAATTATCCAAAAACCATATTTGTCCTACATCTTAAAAAATTCTGAGCTCTTAAAGTAAATAACAAATCAATTTTTACACTAGCACTTTCCTTACATGTCTGTACACACAAATCTTACGTTTTGGTTCACCATCATCACTTTCTTCATCCTCGTCTTCCCCTTCCTCCTCTTCATCCTCCTCTTCTTGCTCCTCCACCTTTTTAGCTGCCTGTTTCTTTTTCCTTGGACTTGGACTTTTGTTTGAGGACTCATTTAAAGCAGCAGTTGAGGTTTCAAATTTCGTGGATGATTCATCATCATCCATGTCTTCATGATTAGCATCTTCATCATTGTCCGATTCTCCTTTTTTCACATCTTCACTTTCTTCCTCTTCCTGTCAAGAAAGGTAAAACATGCAATTATATATCTATCACACTATTGACCATTTTTCATAATATTCAATTTAAGTATTTTCATTACTTTTCTTTTTTAAGGATTTTGTCCTTTTTTTTAATTCCATAACTTTGAGGATGCATTGATTTGAAATAAATAGCTTCAAACTTTCAACTTGCCTGAAGAAATCCATGACTAAACTACATTTTAGTTGCATCTTAGTGTAGCTGGACAAAGACTAAATGGTGATCTAAACTGCACAAACATTGTGTATAATTTTTTGTAAATATTCTGTGATTCTGCTTTACATATGTTTTTTCCACTTTCCCAAAACAAATATCATTCGTGATCAGTTGAGTGTCAATTTTCCGTTAACAAAATAAAAGCATTCAGGAAAGTTGTAAACTAGAACCAATGTGAGCTAAATCACTGCCACATCATCATAATCTTTACAATTGATTGGGGAAATTGTTTAAGTGAACAGGTCTATAGCTGTAAAAAAAACTTCTGTTAAAAACATTTTAGCCATTTTTACTTTCCATAATTTGTTTAACCTTCATGGTGATTAAAAAAAACTGTGATTATCCAATTCATTCTGAATAAAAATGAGTTTTTTCAACAAAACCTGTTGTGACAACAAAAAAGGTGTGAAAATTTGTGATATAGTACAAATATAGTAAGAATCCAATGAGAAGTAAAATTTCATGGCGGCACGAATTTGGAACCTTTCAGAAATAAGCAAAGATGGTAGAAATAAGCAAAGATGGTGATCTAATAAACGAACATGCTTTATGCACTCTTTGCAATTCGACTTTGACATCATTCGACATTAACAGAATATTTTTATCTGAATATAGATAGTATTCAGATAGTCATGCTAAGGTTTCTGAGCTATGCTGCGAAAGTATAGAAAACATCGAATTTACTGTGACCACGTACACTAACACTCAGAGTGAATCCCATTTCATATTTTTTAGTGTTGTGTATGCTATATACTACAAGACGCACACAATGCTTGGCAATCGTAATCGTTTTCTCATTTGTTCTTTGAAATGGCTTCTTATGGTAAGTGTTGAGTAGCAGTGCAAATGCTCCTATTTATTTCGATTATATACCTCTTTGGAAACAGAAGATTTCTCTCTTTCTTCGGTGTCCGACATGATAGGTTTTAAATTTTCAAAATGGCGGTAAAGCGCACCCGGTCGTGCAACCAATCAAATATCACGACAGAAATTATCAGCAAAATGCATCATACACTGTAATTGGCTGAAATCAATTTTACATTCAGGGTCTCTCAGATCGTTTCGTCTTTGAGATGATAATTCTAGATGCACACCAAAAATTAAGCGTCTTTCTGATACAGATTTTCCCGGGATTTTACGCATGTGTTCACGTTTCATGTCCAAATCAATAAGATAAAAAAATCCCCAAAATACCACATATTTTAATACCTTCCTTACAATAAATGTTTCAGGGGTATGTTGATTCGTGCATTGATAATTTTTACAATGAAGTGACTGGAATTAAAACCACATAAAATATTTTACCCCCGGTTGTTTACAAACGTCTGTTTCACCCCGATAGATTTTTCCATAATATTTCGGGAGACGTCAACGATGTCAGTAAACAATCAGGGGAAGTGATCACCAGGACAAAATGAACGAGGAATATGGTGCTGTGGCTGTGTGGATATCGTCACCCAGTTTATACATCTCTGGATTATGATTAATCGATTGTCTATATAGCAGGAAATGTAAGAATATCCTTAATTAATTATTTCATACGCACACAGCTGGTTTTAGCTTTACTATCCAGGCAGTAACAATGGCTTTTTATGAAAGAAAGGCTAATCATTTAAATCGACTTATCATTTGAAATAATAATCTGATTCGGAAGTGACGTATAGCGACAGGTACACACTTATTGCTAAAGTTGGTCAAATACAGGACGGTGACAACAAAAGATGCTACTATTCTAAAGGTCCTTAAAAGTCCACTACATCTTCAATGTGTTAAATAGTACGGATGAAGATGGTAGGTATATCGGATTTTAATTTCATTTTTCGAAGTTGAACCAAATTTTATTTAGAGAAAAATGTGGTTCACAACATCTTTGAATTCTCACAGTGGTTTTTCCCAAGGTAATAATATGAATAAAACATAATGCAGTGGCAAAGTATCCTTTTTTTTATTTCCTCAAAATCATTATTTTTGCTGAAATTTAAGGAGCAATAACTCTAGATGTTAATTTTTTTATTTGAGGTTTTGCAAATAAGAGTGTTTTAAAAGACTAGCAGTAGCAAATTAAATTTTCATGTATACAAACAAAGGTCATGACAAAAATTATCTAATAAGATTTGCTCTCGAAATCAACATAGAAAGACCCCGTTTCAAAAATTAAATAAAATTCTCCCCGTAATATTCACAATCCTTTGTTTTTATCACTTGTTTAAGCAAAGTATTGGCAATTAATTTGTGCTCATACTCATAAGAATTATTCCCAAATCCCTCTGAACCTCTATATATCTCTTGTTTAACTATACTAATATATAATTGGCGAATTAATGATTAATTGTTTAATTGATGTAACTGGAATGATCTATTGTGATTTCTCCATCTACATTATAAGTTCACCATCGTAGCTAAGAGGTGGCCATTTGGAATTTATATTGTGAAATGCATATATTTTAGCAGTAATTTTATTTACACGCTCTTTATGCTAAAGGTTTTGTGCTTAAATATAAAGTATCAAAAAACATTGCACTGATTTGTTCAAAATTTATCAGGTGCTAAAATTTGATTGAACTTAAACAAGTGGTTTGTTATCAGTATTGTTTACAAAAAGACTTTATGGATTGTTCATGTATTCCTTTGTAGATACTTAATTGTACATGTTAAATTTTTTAACTAATTTGAAAAATTGCTTGTACAATTTTGGTAGGCGTTTTAGACAATGATATTTACCACTCCATCTAGTAAATGTATGCTTTGTTTAAACCCTTCCTCTTGAAGGTCTGAGTGGTGATTTTTTTTACTTCATCTATCTAATGTTATTATACCTTATAATTTCTGTAATTCATTAATACGAAATCAAGATCAAAGCAGAGAAAAGTAATTAATTTGATTATATTATAAAAAACCAATCGTGACCAATTAAAGACTTAAGAAATTGTCATTTCTCTAATGCTACTATGATTTGTGTGCTAAACTGTAGAATTTGATTTAGAACATTGAGGTGATGTCAGTACCATTTATTTGCCTATTTTCAGGAGAAAATGTTGAGAGTAAATCTCTGTAGACTGTTGAAGAGGAAGAATTACATCTGGTAGTTTTTACTGGGCTCAGGATGCAGCATCCAAACACCAAGAAACACCTAGCTAGTCTGCGTCAAGGATGGGTGAAGGAAAAGGACAAAACACTACCAAATAAACTCACAGATGCCGTATCGGATCAAAAGTGAGTAAACTTACACTGAGAAGTACCTTCAAATATTTGGTAATATCTGTTACATTAAAATGAAATTTGACAACCTAATGGTTTTGGATAAGAAAATTTTGAAGTGAAAGTTCTGTTGCTCATTTACCAGTATTTACACACAAAAAATGCATTGGAGTTGACAAAAAGATGAGAATGATTGTGAATGTGAAGAACAAACAAAACAATCAACATATGAGAGACATTGCACAAAAAATGTTTACTTGCATGAAACACTTCATCATTATTTTTTTTTTTTTTTTTTTTTATCTTGGCCTGAAGTTAATGGTGAATGTACAGATTTTTGTTTTTAGAGGATCTACTTAATTTCACCTTCCAAATATCCATTTTCTTCTTTTGGCTTTAAGCCAATTCAATAATCCCCACTGGAAGTATGAATTAGCTGATAAATATGAAAATAGAATGTTTGGTAGCGTGGGTTTGAGGGGAAAAACTGACCAATCACAGATTGATACACTCCTTTGAAGATTATAAAGGAGCGACACCAAACTTCAAAGCCAGTACCGGTATGTGACCTCAAGACTCCTTTGGTCCGTTGTTCTTAAAGCCCAGAATATGACCCAAGTATTTCAGATACCTTTGAATATTGTACATTGTCAAATTAAAATGAATACTAATCATAGATCTTAAGTGCACATGTTTAAGAAAAAAAGTTCCTGAAGGTATTAATCACTTGATTTTGTGGCTCTGGTTTTGGAAATAAATTCTGGAATGTCATGAGCTGGTAAAGGTTAGCTAAGGAAATATGGCAGAGTAGAGGGAGAAACCTATGCATATGATGAAGAACACAAAAAAGGAAGTAAAATTGAAGGTTGTTCTTTTAGGGAATCATTTGAAAAGACATGTTATGGCTGTTGGAAATCACATAATCTTATATATTGTGTACTTCCCACAAAAAACTGTGAGCAATTTTGGACAATGTGTACTGTACAGTAACCTTATTCCTTAGTCTTTACATGCTTTTAAATGGTGCTGAACTATTCTGATTTAAATGGTTGAATGACTGTTAATGTTATAGAAGTCTCGTCTCCATGTGATGAAACACATCGTTTTTCTGGTTCTTCATATTTTTGTATCTTAATGAAATTTAAACCATAACTGCATCACCCAAAAGTGGTGTACAGTGCACTGAAATTAGGTTACTGCAACATTTCTTCAATTCATATGTCTAGAAAGTGCATTTATAGCCGATCCTCATTAGATAGTGGGCTAATCGAATAACTTTCCTATTTGGTTATCATGTGTTTTTGATACATCATTCTCAAATTCAATATGTAGGTCTGCCTTGGTCCCAAGTTGCGCAAAGTCTGCATTAGATCTGGTCATAAAAACAAAATGGCAGACTGTTGGACAGATAGGGTTTTGACAATCTTCAATTTTTATTGTTATTTCAGTAAAAGTACTCTATGGATTGTTCTCTAACTTCATATATGGGTCTGGCACAGTCCCATTTTTGGACTGATCACAAAAGAAAAATGGCAGAAAAGGCAGCCATATTGGTTTTTGTCAGTCATAGTTTGTGTTCATTATATCTGGAGATGTGAAGGTGTAGGTCCCTAGTTGTATCCTTTTAATTTTGGGTCTGATCAATAAAACAAAATGGCTCTTGATTTTTAAACTGTTGAGAGAAAAAGTTGGTTGATAGACATCTTGGAATGTTCTATTTTTATGTAAATAAAAGCAAAAACAAGATCAAAAGATCAAACAAGGTCTGGAATCTCTTGTTAGGTCATCTGACCTATTGCTGTCTTGCATCGTCCGTCATCGTGCTCCGTCCGTCTTGTTTAACACCTGGGCAGATTTCAACCAAACTAGGTCTGAAACATCATTAGGGTTGGGAAATTTTTTCTTGAATTCAGAAAAATTGTTTTACTTCTATTTAGCTAGGGATCTGGGGATAGGGCCCCAAAAAGGTAGTTAGACAATATTTTGCTTCAAAATGCCACTCTTCCTTAAATGCTTGAATGGATTTCATTCAGATTTGGTCTCAAACATCAGCAGAGGTGGGTAATTAATTCTCATATTCAGAAAGTTGATATGATTCCTCGGCACTTGGAGATGGGGCTTAAAATGGGGGAAGTAAGTCAGTGTTTTCCTTCAAAATGCTACTCTTCCTTAATACTTGAATTATTTTCAACCAAATTTAGTCTGAGACAACATTGAGGGTGGGGAATCATTACTTAAATTCAGAAAGTTGATTTGACCCCTCTATAGGGCCCCAAAGGGTAGTTAGACTTTAGGCTAATACTTTGGGCTTAGGGGCGGGGCCCAAATAGATAAGTTAGACAATATTTTGCTTTGAAGGCTACTCCTTAATTCCTTGGATTTCACTCAAATCTGGTCAGGGACCATATTAGCAATATTCAGTAGCGACAATGATATCAAACATGCATGCAGTAATTCTGAGATTGTCCTGACCAAATCTTATTTATCTGTTTGGTTCAAAATACATTTTTCATTCACACCATTGAGAAAAAAAATGTTTGCAGTATTTGTAGGAGAATAAACATGATAGGTTGTCATATTTTAGCCTGGTCACAACTTTGACATGGTAGCCACAGAAGCCATTTTGTAACACGATTACACAACTGTTTTTCATGAACAAAAGCTGCCATTTATGAGTTTCTGATACTTTCTAGGGATGTTTGAAATCTGAATTCATCAGATTCGTTAGTAGATTCTGTGGTCTGTCCATCAATCCATTAATTGTCAGATGACTGTTAAGAACCATGGCCCTCTTGTAGTTGAACTTGATCAAGTGCTACAACTAATTATAGCCTACATTTTGACATGTTAGGTGTTTAAAACCATTGCCATGGAAACGATTGGAGGCTTCTGATTGGTCAAAAATAAGATACTCTTTGATTGAATAGAGAATTGATATGAAAAGTTTAGAGGGAAGAAAAATTCACAGATACCATTTAAAGGGGGATAGAGTGATATAGTTGTCATTTGGTTGCCATGGTGACAAAATAAAGGCCTCTTGGAGGAATATTGTTGGGACAACCCCTCCAGAACTATTGTTGAATGTGGAGCACATGGATATCAGTTGGTAATCCTGGCAACATGGATTCTATGGGAGGGATGTACTCTTAATGATGAGCTTGTTAGTTGTGAGTGTTGGTACTTTGGAAAACACAATGATTTGTACTAATTTGCATAATCCAGTTTGTAGCTTTCTGTGGAAATGGATGATATTGTTAGGAAAAAGCTGTTACACTCACCATCCCCAAGAGACCAGTGGTACATTAGTGGTAAGATCCAGACTTTATTGATCACTAAATATACAGACTGAAGTTTGTGTAAACACTATCAGAATTATCTGACAAAATCTTGGATTGATGTTAGGTTGTAAGCTGATAATAAGCATACACACTGCCCTCCAAAAACACCTGAACACATTATTTTTATTTTTACTTTCTATAGTTTTCTTCCTTGAAGTTATCAGGGAGGGTCAAGCGAATGACATGCATAGAAATAATGTTTTTTTTTCACCTGGGTCATGGTGGTTTTAACAAGTTTACTTGTACTGTTGAAATATCCTGTTTGTATTGAGACTGGGCTACTTAAATACAATTGATGTGATGCAGCTGCCCCAAAGCTAATGCTGTTTGTACCTCACTTCCCATTAACCTGGCAAAACAAAAAAAAAAATCTTAATCAGCAATCACATGGTATATTACAAAAACCAGAAGGAATTTCTAAAGGTGAAGAGTGATTTAGTGCAACTAAAACGGGTTTGCAGTTTTAACACAGATATATAGTCTTCTAATGTACATTTATCAGGTGTCATGTTCATGTTGTCAGGTGTGTCATGTTGTCAAGTTTGTCATGTTGTCAGGTGTGTCATGTTGTCAGGTATGTCATGTAGTCAGATGTGTAATGTTGTCTTTTGTGTCATGTTGTCAAGTTTGTCATGTTGTCAGGTGTGTCATGTTGTCAGGTATGTCATGTAGTCAGGTGTGTAACTTCCCAGATGTGTCATGGTGTAAGGTGTGTCACGTTCCCAGGTATGGCATGGTGTCGAGTGTGTCATGAATATATAGTCAGGTATGTCATATCTTAAGATGTGTCATGTTTTCTTGTGTAGACTTGGATGTGCCCTACCCCTAATCTGGACTTAATTTCTGGGTTTCTTTGAAACAGTTACAATCCCTACCCCATAACCATATATAAAGAATTTCATTGCATCATGAGATAAACACATATGTTATGTAAGGATTGACTCTAGGAATATCATTTCTGAGTCATATTTTCGATAATACCTGAGATACCAGCCCAATAATCATATAAACTCTTACAGGGCATCAAAAGAGAAAGACAATCATGATATAAGAATTTACCTATTGGTCTTTCCCATTGAAGGGGTTCAGTTACTGAACTTTAATTTGGAATGTTTGAAATACCCATCCTATAGGCATGTGTACCATTGCTGTGCATTAAGATCCAGGTGATCAACACAGGCCATATGGGCCTCTTGTTTATTCTAGGAAAATCAGTTGTTGATGTGACACAAGTTCAATCACCTGTCAAGAAGAGGTGTTCAATCACCTGTGTTTTGTGTCAATCGAAGTGATCACTCAGACATGCTAGAGTCATTAATTAACTGACCCTAGTGGTTAAATTCCTGCATAGCAACACATATCACGTGTACTAGTTGTTCACTGCTTCATTATAATGTCACAGGATATTGTACTGCAGTGATGTCTGAATCTCACCGACTCTTTACACAAGCAGAAATAGAGGTAGGATTTTAAAGAATCTTGTCGAATGTTTGACTTTAATTGTATAGAACTGTATGAAATGAAGGTATGACAGCACTTAACAGAGAAAGCTGATCTTTGTATATATCAGAACAGGGAAAAACATTCTGGTAATTAACCATCAAGAATTGAACCCAGGTCTCTGGTGTTAAAATCCATGGCATTACCATTAATAATGAAGGAAGGAAGAATGGTCCGTCGGCTATGTGACAGAAGCCATATTTAACACTATATGTTCAAGCCACACTGTTTCTTTCACATCTATAGGTAGATAAGTGTCACCGACTTCAATGATGTTGTTTTATATATTGAGAAGTTACTTTTATTAGATGGGAGTTATTTCCAGCATTTGTCCTTTAATCATTTTTTAGTAAATCAAAACCTGGTAGTTATTGAACATTGTGATAGGGAGAAGTTAAGGTTCTAGGAACCTAAAGTAGAGTTTATATATAAGCTCTGGAAATCTAAAGAAGTGTTTATATATAGGCTCTTGGAATCAAAGTAGAGTATATATATATAGGTTCTGGGAATCTAAAGTAGAGTTTATGTATAAGTTCTGGGAATCTAAAATAGATTTATATATAGGTTCTGGGAATCTAAATAGAGTTTATATATAGGTTTTGGGAATCAAAGTAGAGTTTATATATAGGCTCTGAAAATCTAAAGTAGAGTTTAAAAGAATTCTTATAGAAAACAAAGAAATGTTCAACAGTTATGGAAATTGAGATTCAGAAATTGATGAATTACAAAAATTGAGAAGTTCAATTATTGGTTTACTGAGTTCAAAGGTTTATGAAAGGGATTACCTGCTTGCAAGGTTAAAAGTTTACTGATGAGCTTACCAGTGTAGGAGGTCAAATGTTAACTCAATATGAGACAAAAAAATGTGGATGAGGTTAAAAATTGAAGCCTTGTAAAGTTAATTTGTATTGTAAAGTACATAATGTACATCATCTAGCTTATCTTTGCATTTCTTTAGATGATTATAAGAAACCATGCTACAATATCTTTTTGATTCAGTTGTTAAAAGCATCTTTGCAAGTAAAACAGAAAAAACTCATTGTGATGAAAAATTCAATATTTCTGGAAATGATTTCAAGCATTGCTTCAAATTTTTCATTCTTGTCATAAAGTTTACTTTCAACACTAATTTTTCCAAATGTCATTTTTGACATATCAGATGTTTTCTTTTAATCTTCTCAGTATCAAAAATAACCTGTAAGAATAACATGAGTACACAATTACACAGGTTTTTATGGCTATCAGAACTTCTGTAACAATAATTTCCTTAATGTTGAGTTTAACATTTTCATCTAAATGAGTCAAGGGTACTTGTGATGAACCTGTAGCATGCTGGGATAAAGGGCTACCAAGTTTGTTCGTATGAATGACCTTGGCCTACTTGCAAGGACATAGGTATCAAATATGTTAAAATCTTTCAAAGAAATTCTTTTCAATGACCTGAAAAGCAAGGGTGCTTATAATTGACTTATAAAATTTTTGTATGAAGGGCTAGTAATATCCTTGACCTACTTTCATGGTCAGAGGGATTAAATATGTTAAAATCTGGAAAAATGGTTTATCCTTAATAACCAAAAGGTCAAAGGTACTGATATAAGTGTGTATCATGCAGGGATAAAGGACTACCAAATTTATTGAAATTAATTATCTTGACCCACTTTCAAGGTCACAGTGGTCAAATATTATATATTCTTCAATGACTTCTTCTCAATAACTTAAATATTCAGGCACTGATATGGAGCTGCTTGTAGTATACTTAGATGAATGGCTACAAATTTTGTTGAAATAAATAATCTCGACCCTATTTCAGGGTCTGAGGGGTTAAATGCATGTATGTTAAAATCTTGAGAGGAAGGGCTACCAAATTTGCTGAAATGAAAGATCTTGTCCCACTTTCAAGGTCATAGTGGTCAAATATATTAGAATTTGAAATGGTTTTTTCTCACTAACCAAAAGGCCCAGGGCACTGATATTTGGCCTATGATAGCATATTGGGAAGAAAGTTACCAAGTTTGTTTAAATTAATTACCTTGACTCATTCTCAAGGTCATAGAGTCAAATGTGTAAGGAAATTTAAACATTTATTTTATAATCAATAGACCACAAGGTATGGTATTAGAAATGAACCTGAAGTTTGCAAGAGTTTACATAAGTTTGCAAGAGTTTACTTAACAAACCAACTATTATTTCTTCTTAATTTGCAGAATAGGTGAGCGATTCGTGCCCAATGTGCCCCTTGTTTAACACTTTATATCTGAGCTGTTATATCAGTGATTTCTGATGAATTTATTACAAATAAATCACACGTTGTATGAATGACCTTGTGTTGGAGTAATGATATTGCTGTCTGTATAAAGATTTTTATCTAATTATCTGGAGTTAAAACCATGAACTACTGTTCCAGTAGTAAACACTGAAAAAAAACCTGTGAGATATTCACAAGCTCTGCCATGTTGATCACACTGAAACACTACATTGTATACTGGTGTTGTATTTTTCAGCACAAACGTACAGATGGCAGCATACCGAGGCAATAAGAACAGTATGGATCTTGCTATAGACCCACTGATCAGCTGCCGATTATGTCTGTCCGAGTGCACCCTCCCAGAGATGTACGAACTCCATGACTGCAAGTGTTTGTATTGTGAAAAGGTAAGGAAATATTGAATTTCTATTTAAGTCTTCACATTGTAATTAAATGCTGTAATCTTGTACTTTGTTTTTATTTTAATTTTTTTTTTTTTTTCTGTTATCTAACTGTTGTTAACGTCAATCTAGGGTTTAATCAAAAGTTAATGGTCTTGATCAACCTGATAGCGTTTATCAACATTTCAAAATAATTGTCTTTTAAGATTTCAAAGTTTTGGTTCTGGTGTTGACTTTCTGAGGTCATCACTGGTAATGGTCCCGCTTTATAAAAGGGAAGGCTCAAAAATCTTGTCTAGACTATCATTTGTTTGATAATGTGGTCGACATGTGAAGGAAGTCTAGATCATGTAATACTAACAAAGAGCGTATATTGATTATCTTTGATGATGTATATATTACGTTAGCCAGGTAAAAAGGACTACTAATAGGTAGACACAGACATGGACATAGGCTAAAGGCTAAATATTTGAACATATGATTGCAATTAATGTATATTGTACATTACACAAGTGATAAGCTAGTGAATGGTGGGGCTATTCATGATGACTCAATATCAGGCCTGTTGATGCTGGTACATCACTCCACATTCTGTCCCTAATACCAAGCATAAAACACCTGTCTCCTCATCAAGGACCCACATCTGTTTTCAGACCTCAGTAACATTAGATAGAATGACTCCAGCAACATGATTAGAGAAACAATCAGTCGGAGTTGTTAGTCATATTACATTGTCTGTACAATATTACTTTGCTTAATAAGTTACATGTAGTTTGATTGTGCTGTGTCCTCAGAATACCTGTGGTTATCTATAGTGACAACATACAGGCTCATAGACAATATTGTAAAAAAATTTAACATTGTATGAAAATATCCATGTGACATCAACGTGTTATATGATAGGTGACCTGTTGTCGTTTGTTCAATGCCATGCATTGTCCATTATAAACATTATAAAATTTTTGACTCTTTCTAGAAAACTCCTAAATTAAATTTCGATAAAATTTTGCATGATCCTTCCATAGCCAAAGGTGAATTAAAATTGTGGTGCTTTACAGAAATTATGAATTTTAAGACCCTAGGGTTTTGAAATTCCCTTGGAGGGGGCACAATATATGATGTTTTATATTAAAGACTTACAATTTGTTTGATTTCCATTTGAAATAATTTAAATGTGATTAGAATTATTCATATAGGATGACAGGTTGATGGTAAGCACATTTTGATTCTTGCTGACCCCTTAGGGGTGATGGGCGGGGCCAAATGGGATCAGATTGAAATAAATTACATAAATCTGTTCTCAATTCCAAGCATAGTCTTCATGGATGGAACGGCCTGAAGGTGCTTTACCAAAATGCATGGTTTAAATCTGAACTGTTTGAAGTAGATCATCCCCGATAATCCAAGAGTTAGATTACTTTCACTCTCTGCATCGCTGGAACATGTTATGACAAAATCGAAGGCACAAGTAAAGTAATTTGATTGGTTCCAGGAGAAAAAACTGACCAATCACAGGCTGATATGTTTTGATGATTACAAAGGAGAGACACCCAACTTCAGAACCATTAGAATATACCTATATGTGACCTTGACCTTTGTTTGATGTATATCAAAGAATCAAGCAAGTCTTTTTGTCTTGTCCACAAGTTGTTGCACATGGAACCTTCAAATTTTGCCATGACATGCTCCAGGGATACAGAGAGCAAAAGTGATCATAACCCTTGGAGTATTGAGGATAGAAGTAGGGATGAACAAGTGGTTTTAAAACTGACATTGCTGATACTACTGTAGACTGGCCCCTGTCTCTGACATATGAAAATCAGAAATAAGATTAGGTTTTATAATTTGGGTCTCTTTGATATGCCTGATTCTAGACATTTAATTATAAACTTGGGGAAGGTAAGCTGATGTAAGAATTAAGCTGAGCATTATTTACAAAAACTCGGGAACTGGTAGCCAGTCTATTACTACTTAAATGTAAACCAGTATTCAGTGGTATCAGGTTTTGCTGTACACCTCAGCAAAGTTTACTGAGTATGTTAAAGGGATACATCATGTACAGGGCACTCGTTTTTCTGTCTTTCTGTTTGCTATCACGCGTTTAAACATTTTGTCCTGATTTGGTGTGATATTTACTCTGATAGTTTCCATTAATATAAACAGTAATCACTTTATCTGTTATTGTTATTTATAAATAAATCGACAAACCCTTCTTGTATCAGTTTTGCGTACCAGATAATCCTGACATGCAATGATGGCAGTGTCACAGAATCTTTGATTTTTTTCCATGAAAAAAAAATTCAAAAATTCTACAGCTATGTAATGTGCACCCCAACCCCCTCCCCAAATTTATTTGGACATTTATATTATCAAAAATAAACTGCACACATTATATGGGGTTTTATGGTACTCTTCTATTATGTCTGGTACCAAGTGGTAGATTGTCATATATCTATACATAGAATTATTTATTGAATATCAACCACATTTTTGTGTATTTCATTCCAACAAGATTATTGCATGAATTACTGAGATTTGTACAATCTCACATCAAAAATAAATTGATATTTCCATACGATGGAAGCCACTGTATTGATCTGTATATATAGGTAGTATGCATAACTGGTGTAAATATCCTTTATCAGTGTACAGAGTTAGAGGTGAAAGTCCTGTTCTAGTTGACACAGATGACTGACCTTTTATTGATCAATAAAACAACAATGAATTGACTCCTTGTAAGCTTTTTTGTTTCCCCTGTAACTCTATTCTGTAATCAGTGTTTATGGCAGATTAAACTGTTTGTATATAACCAGTCCCCATACCACTGCCTTTCCCTATATTGTATAGTAGGGTGATTATTGAAATCTGATTTCTGACTCTTTAATACTTCATTCAAGTTTATGATATAGACATTTAAAAAATCACCTGTATTAGCAAATTACATTTTTGTTACAGTAAATATGGTTGATAAATAAATATTGAATGTGTCATTTCAGTATGATTTATACACAGTGTTATAACTGTTTGTATGACCCATAATAATCAGTCAGGCCTTTATAGGTAAACATTGTTCTCATGACCCAGGTTAATTTATCTGTCTTTTACAGGTAAACATTGTTCTCATGTCCCAGTTTGATTAATCTGTCTTTTATAGGTAAACATTGTTCTCATGTCCCAGTTTGATTAATCTGTCTTTGATAGGTAAACATTGTTCTCATGACCCAGGTTAATTTATCTGTCATTTATAGGTAAATGTTTTCATGTCCCAGGTTAATTTATCTGTCATTTACAGGTAAACATTGTTCTCATGACCCAGGTTAATTTATCTGTCCTTTATAGGTAAACGTTGTTTTCATGTCCCAGGTTAATTTATCTGTCATTTACAGGTAAACATTGTTCTCATGACCCAGGTTAATTTATCTGTCATTTATAGGTAAATGTTTTCATGTCCCAGGTTAATTTATCTGTCATTTATAGGTAAACATTGTTCTCATGACCCAGGTTAATTTATCTGTCATTTATAGGTAAATGTTTTCATGTCCCAGGTTAATTTATCTGTCATTTATAGGTAAACATTGTTCTCATGACCCAGGTTAATTTATCTGTTCTTTATAGGTAAACATTGTTCTCATGACCCAGGTTAATTTATCTGTTCTTTATAGGTAAACATTGTTCTCATGACCCAGGTTAATTTATCTGTCATTTACAGGTAAACATTGTTCTCGTGTCCCAGGTTAATTTATCTGTCCTTTATAGGTAAACATTGTCCTCGTGTCCCAGGTTAACCTATTTGTCCTTTATAGGTAGACATTGTTGTGCTGATGTGCAAGGTTAATTAATTTGTCCTTTATATTATATGCAAACATTATTCTGGATGTATTTTCAGCTCTTTTTTTTTTTTTTTTTACAATATCTTTAGTTGCCATGATTTAATCTTTTCAAAGTACTTGCTTGGTATTGCTTTTCAAGTCTAGGACATGATTTTTTAGCTCACTTTGCCCAAAAAACATAGAATACCAGTCGAGCAATACAGGCCAACTGAGTCTCTTGTGCATACATTTAAGGAGTCAGTGCATTATGTTCCAGTAATAACCTGTTTCCAGTTATCCGTTTCAGAGAAATCTTGTTCTTGTGTAGAGATCCTAGATGACTGAACATGATTACATGTCTGTACATTTGATATCTCACTAACCATTTGAGTATCAATATGATTTTCAGCCTTTTTTCATTCAGGATGACATATTATCCGATGTTATAGGTCAGGAAGATATCAACACTCAACATATTGATGTTCTTGTTTCCTTGTCAACACTCAGCGTGTTCTCAGAATTGGTTTTAATATATTTCTCATATATAATTCATCTCATTTAAAATTTGTAATAAACAGATAAATTACAAACAATGAAATTAAGTTTTAAATTATATTCTGCAGTGTATGAAACAGTATTTGCAAGTGATGATAGTGGAAGGCAATATCATGGCTATCACCTGTCCCGATGCTTCTTGTAAAAAACAGGGACGCCTCGAGGCTTCGGAGGTATGTGTAACTTTTTCAAAAGTGACAAGGGTGGCCAGTTTGGAAAACAATAATGCCCTGCACCTGTTTTGAGGTTGGAGGATTTCAGGGAATGCCTCAAATCATTTTGTATGCAGTTTATTTCTATCATCAGATAAAAATGTCTTTTACTCAATGCTCACTACTACATGGATGTCTTTAAAAAAACTTGGGAATTTTTTATGAACTTTAATATGAAATAATTTTTTTTCACTAAATAAGCAATTTTTTATGCTTTTGACAGTGAACAATATAATATTTCATATTTCAATGATCTGGCTGTTTAGGTCATCTGACCCAAAGGGTCAAGATGACCTATAGCCATCGTGCTTCGTCCGTCGTCGTCCGCCGTCCGCCGTGCGTAAACTTTTCATTCAAACAACTTCTTCTCAAATACTAGAAGGTCTAGGGGGCTAATACTTGGCACAGAGGATACTGGCATGGAGCTCTATCAAGTTTGTTCAAATGAATGACCTTGACCCACTTTAAAGGTCACAGGGGTCAAATATGTTAAAATCTTTAAACAACTTCTTCTCATTAACCAAAAGGCTCAGAGTGTAGATATTGGGCCTGTGACATGCTGGGATGAAGTGCTACTAAGTTTGTTCAAGTGAATGACCTTGACCCACGTTTAAGGTCACAGGGGCCAAATATGTTAAAATCTTTAAACGACTTCTCCTCAATAACCAAAAGGCTCAGATTGCTGATATTGTGCCTGTGGCATGCTGGGATGAAGGGCAATCAATTTTGTTCAAATGAAAGACCTTGAACAACTTTCAAGGTCACAGGGGTCAAATATGTTAAAATCTTTAAATAACTTCTTCTCAAATACTAGAAGGCCTAGGGTGCTTATACTTGGCCCATGGCATGCTGGCATGGAGCCCTACAAAGTTTGTTCAAATGAATGACCTTAGCCCACTTTCAAGGTCACAGGGGTTAAATATGTTAAAATATACAAAGGACTTCATCTCAATAAGCAAAAGTCTATGAGTGCCGATATTGGGTCTGTAGCATGCTGGGAGGAAAGGCTACCAAGTTTATTCAAATGAATGACCTCGACCCACTTTCAAGGTCACAGGGGTCAAATATGTTAAAATATACAAACGATTTCTTCTCAAGAAGCAAAAGTCCATGAGTGCTGATATTGGGCCTGTAAGATGCTTGGAGGAGAGGCTACCAAGTTTGTTCAAATGAATGACCTCAACCCACTTTCTAGGTTTGGCTTGCTTTTTGTCAGATGACCGTTAAGGCCCATGGGCCTCTTGTTTTTAATTATTTCTGAAATGATTGACTTTTCCATTTGATGTATCTGTAACTTCATTTTCATACGGAGTAAACATGAGCTTTTATCTAGGAATATATCTACCTACTGAGTACACATGTCCCCATCAATTGATCTGTGTTTACATTTTGCTTTCAGATCGCAAATTTAGTGGAAGCCAAACTGTTCGATCGCTATAAGCGATTGCGATACCAGAGAGGTAGGACAGCCATATTGATCCCAGTCTTGTGTCAATAAAAGTTATAGATTCCCATACACACAAAAAGGCATATAGCTTAACATTTCAAATATAGATTATTCTGAACAATTGTTAAAAATGTTTTTTCATTGAAATTTCCAGAGCTCATCTCTCATGATTCCAGCGTCAATTGACATTGACCATTGATTTTCCTGAAAATAAGTCAAAACATGTACTGTTGAATTTGGAAATAGGAATTTCGAGAAGAATGTTCTTATCATGGAATCAAAGAATGAAACTATCAGATTATGCAAAGGTTGAAAAAAATGTACTATTGTAACATCTTATTGGCGGGATTTGTTTTCTATGATTTCACGATTACTGTCTATCCACCAATTCATAAGTCTGCAAGTGTTAAAACTAAGTATATATTGACTTTCTCAGCTATATTTACCCACAAAATTAAATGTCCTTGAAATCTTTTTTTTTTTTTTTTTCAAATCACAAAACTTGAGCCCCACGATAATATATGCTCTTTCAGTACATAAAATGACAAGTATGGAATTGTTAAATTCTGATCATTATAAAGATATATTGTGTATGATATATGTACTTAGTGTGTTGATGAATGCCTAATTGTAAATATGTGCATAGAATAAAAAGCTGTTATTCGACAGCCACAATTGATATTCAAATATACCATTCTGATATTTCGTATGCAATATTTGCGTTCCACTGGAATATAATGAACAGGTTGAATTTCTCCGGAAGTTAGTTGAAATCCAATGAAATATCCATTTCCAAATGTCATTGCTTACGTGATGACCTAACAAGTCATGGTATATTGCTATTAATGAAATATAAGTCTTCAACATATATTTCTAAAGAGTTGTTAATAATTGTGCTAGCTTTATGAAATGTCAGTTCAGATAGCATGTTGATAAGCAGATCTTGTAATGTCAATTTCTGATTACTCAAAGCAGATCTTGTAATGTCAATTTCTGATTACTCAAAGGAGATCTTGTAATGTCAATTTCTGATTACTCAAAGGAGATCTTGTAATGTCAATTTCTGATTACTCAAAGGAGATCTTGTAATGTCAATTTCTGATTACTCAAAGCAGATCTTGTAATGTCAATTTCTGATTACTTAAAGCAGATCTTGTAATGTCAATTTCTGATTATTAAAGCAGATCTTGTAATGTCAATTTCTGATTACTCAAAGGAGATCTTGTAATGTCAATTTCTGATTACTCAAAGGAGATCTTGTAATGTCAATTTCTGATTACTCAAAGCAGATCTTGTAATGTCAATTTCTGATTATTAAAGCAGATCTTGTAATGTCAATTTCTGATTACTCAAAGGAGATCTTGTAATGTCAATTTCTGATTACTCAAAGCAGATCTTGTAATGTCAATTTCTGATTACTCAAAGCAGATCTTGTAATGTCAATTTCTGATTACTCAAAGCAGATCTTGTAATGTCAATTTCTGATTACTCAAAGCAGATCTTGTAATGTCAATTTCTGATTATTAAAGCAGATCTTGTAACATCAATTTCTGATTACTTAAAACAGATCTTGTAACATCAGTTTCTGATTATTAAAGCAGATCTTGTAACATCAGTTTCTGATTATTAAAGCAGATCTTGTAACATCAGTTTCTGATTATTAAAGCAGATCTTGTAACATCAGTTTCTGATTACTTAAAACAGATCTTGTAACATCAATATTTGATTATTAAAGCAGATCTTGTAACATCAATATTTGATTATTAAAGCAGATCTTGTAACATCAATATTTGATTATTAAAGCAGATCTTGTAACATCAATATTTGATTATTAAAGCAGATCTTGTTATGTCAATTTCTGATTATTAAAGCAGATCTTGTAACATCAGTTTCTGATTACTTAAAACAGAGATCAATTTTGATTATTAAACAGATAACATCAGTTTCTGATTATTAAAGCAGATCTTGTAACATCAGTTTCTGATTATTAAAGCAGATCTTGTAACATCAATTTCTGATTATTAAAGCAGATCTTGTAACATCAGTTTCTGATTATTAAAGCAGATCTTGTAACATCAGTTTCTGATTATTAAAGCAGATCTTGTTATGTCAATTTCTGATTATTAAAGCAGATCTTGTAACATCAGTTTCTGATTATTAAAGCAGATCTTGTTATGTCAATTTCTGATTATTAAAGCAGATCTTGTTATGTCAATTTCTGATTATTAAAGCAGATCTTGTAATGTCAATTTCTGATTATTAAAGCAGATCTTGTAACATCAATATTTGATTATTAAAGCAGATCTTGTAACATCAGTTTCTGATTATTAAAGCAGATCTTGTAACATCAATATTTGATTATTAAAGCAGATCTTGTAACATCAATTTCTGATTATTAAAGCAGATCTTGTTATGTCAATTTCTGATTATTAAAGCAGATCTTGTAACATCAATTTCTGATTATTAAAGCAGATCTTGTAACATCAATATTTGATTATTAAAGCAGATCTTGTAACATCAGTTTGTGATTATTAAAGCAGATCTTGTAACATCAGTTTCTGATTATTAAAACAGATCTTGTAACATCAGTTTCTGATTATTAAAGCAGATCTTGTAACATCAGTTTCTGATTATTAAAGCAGATCTTGTAACATCAATTTCTGTAACATCAATTTCTGATTATTAAAGCAGATCTTGTAACATCAGTTTCTGATTATTAAAGCAGATCTTGTTATGTCAATTTCTGATTATTAAAGCAGATCTTGTAACATCAATATTTGATTATTAAAGCAGATCTTGTAACATCAGTTTGTGATTATTAAAGCAGATCTTGTAATGTCAATTTCTGATTATTAACGCAGATCTTGTTATGTCAATTTCTGATTATTAAAGCAGATCTTGTAACATCAGTTTGTGATTATTAAATCAGATCTTGTAACATCAGTTTCTGATTACTTAAAACAGATCTTGTAACATCAATATTTGATTATTAAAACAGATCTTGTAACATCAATATTTGATTATTAAAGCAGATCTTGTAACATCAATTTCTGATTATTAAAGCAGATCTTGTTATGTCAATTTCTGATTATTAAAGCAGATCTTGTAATGTCAATTTCTGATTATTAAAGCAGATCTTGTAACATCAGTTTCTGATTACTTAAAACAGATCTTGTAACATCAATATCTGATTATTAAAGCAGATCTTGTAACATCAATATTTGATTATTAAAGCAGATCTTGTAACATCAATATTTGATTATTAAAACAGATCTTGTAACATCAATATTTGATTATTAAAGCAGATCTTGTAATGTCAATTTCTGATTATTAAAGCAGATCTTGTAATGTCAATTTCTGATTATTAAAGCAGATCTTGTAACATCAATTTCTGATCACTGGTTGGTAAGTAGGTCTTGTAATGTTGATTTTGTTACAGAGGTTGATTTAGACCCTAACCGAACTTTCTGTCCGGAAGTTGGATGCGAAACAGTTTGTCATGTGTGCAGTACGTCAACGGGAGAAAGCTCCAAACCGATAGCTGTTGATTGTCCATCAGTAAGTTGTAACTGTACCTCAGATTTATACAAGTACCCAGTATAAGGATGGTATTAGTACCCAGAGCTGGTGGCTTCTCACACCTCTCTGACTAGGTTTTACCAAATCAACTTTTTTGGGGTGTATGAAATATCATTTGCTACCTGTTTTCACTAAAATTTTATAATTTTGTCAGACTGCTTTCTGTTATAGTATGCCTTGGATTACTGTATGTTCAGCCAAAACGTTCTGTCAATTCATTTCCGTCTTGCACTCTGTAAACATTCTTGCCAATACACTTCACACTCTGTCTGGTAATTCATGTGATGAATTTCTTCAGATGAATTTTTTTATTCTTTTTCTTATTAATGGTTGTCATGCAAGAATTTCTAATCTAAGTACCATAATCATCAACCTGAAGAAAACCTGTGACAGAAGTTAAGGAACCACAGCAGTTCTGTTCATTGCTGCTTTTGATTATAAGCATGTTCAATAAAGACAGCTACCAGCAACTTCCATGAGACAGGACCGCCTCAAAATGCCCCTGGCTGTTCACGGGTGATAGACTTAGCAAAAAGAAATAAAAAATCAAAAGATTAAGATTTTCTTGTGCGTGAAAACCTGAGAGGATATGATTGTGCATTGATGAATAACGAGGACAAATCATGTATTTATAGTCAACCCATTAATTGGTTAGTTATAATAGGTGATAACTTCACCTTACAAATATATTGTTATTAGCATTCTCACCTGACAGGTGTTCAACAAGCTTATCTCTCTCTGTATAGCACTGTTAATTAGTATGGCAGGTAGGGTCATCAGATTTGGTCAGTGAATAACTGCATTTCACTTCCTGACAAGTACATTATCTAAGATTCAATAATATCGTGGAAAATTGTTGGGATCCTTATGAGTGTGTAATGTAATATCACACCAATTATGAAGTGATATAAAGTTCTTCTGTAAAATATATTCTTATGTATTTTGTCAGGCTTAATTATTATTAGTTAGTAGGGAATCATGAATCAGTCCTTTTTAACAAGAAAAGCTTACTTAAATAATGGGGAAGTATTTTTCACCATCTACTCAGCTTGGTCCTATGATTTAGCCTGCTAGGGATCATTGCAAATATATGTTTTCACATATTTAATCAGTTTAGTCACCCCTTCTCCCACGTAAACTCAACCCTTCCGAATAAATGTTGAATTTGCAGGAACTTTTCCTTTATTCTTTTCCTCTTTTCAAATTTTGCTGTTTTCATTGCAATAGAGATTTTTCTTTACACTCAAGTTTGAGGTTATATTGTATACTGCAATGTGGATTAAAGTATTACATTGATGTGTGACTTGTTTGCTGATTTACATGCAGTGCTGTGATGTTATTATTTTGAAATTTAGAATACTGTTCTACTTGCAGTGTGGGCTGAAGTTTTGCTCCATCTGTAAGTCTGGATGGCACACAACAAAGACCTGTGATGAGATGATGCTGAGTGGGAGACTAGAGGATGCTGGGTAGGTTTTCACTAAATGGGTGACTGGAGGTACTGGGTAGGTTCTCTGAGAGGGAGACTAGAGGATGCTGGGTAGGTTTTCACTGAGTGAGTGACTAGAGGATGCTGGGTAGGTTTTCACTGAGTGAGTGACTAGAGGATGCTTGGTAGGTTTTCACTGAGTGAGTGACTAGAGGATGCTTGGTAGGTGTTTTTTGAGTGAGTGACGAGAGGATGCTGCGTAGGTGTTCTCTGAGTGAGTGACTAGAGGATGCTGGGTAGGTGTTATCTGAGTGAGTGACTAGAGGATGCTTGGTAGGTGTTCACTGAGTGAGTGACTAGAGGATGCTGGGTAGGTGTTCACTGAGTGAGTGACTAGAGGATGCTGGGTAGGTGTTCTCTGAGTGAGTGACTAGAGGATGCTGGGTAGGTGTTCACTGAGTGAGTGACTAGAGGATGCTGGGTAGGTGTTATCTGAGTGAGTGACTAGAGGATGCTGGGTAGATTTCCGAGTGAGTGACTAGAGGATGCTGGGTAGATTTCCGAGTGAGTGACTAGAGGATGCTGGGTAGATTTCCGAGAGAGTGAGTAGAGGCAAAATATCAATATATTTTATATGTATGAAATACAAAGGTTACAAAGGTAATGTATTGACACATTCTGCATTTAGTAGGTGGTAAATTGTAAAGCCAGTGTCTTAGTTTTGCTAATTTTGCCAAGATTGTATGGCAAATGTTACAAGGCAAATTTTAATTTAGAAAGAATGATATATTTTTAGTTCCTGTATTGCTGTGGTACATACACATAAGTTACACAGAATGCTCTGATAAACCATTAACTAGCCTGTATATGTTGTGGTATATACACATAAGTTACACAGAATGCTCTGATAAACCATTAACTAGCCTGTATTGCTGTGGTACATACACATAAGTTACACAGAATGCTCTGATAAACCATTAACTAGCCTGTATATGTTGTGGTATATACACATAAGTTACACAGAATGCTCTGATAAACCATTAACTAGCCTGTATATGTTGTGGTACATACACATAAGTTACACAGAATGCTCTGATAAACCATTAACTAGCCTGTATGTGTTGTGGTATATACACATAAGTTACACAGAATGCTCTGATAAACCATTAACTAGCCTGTATGTGTTGTGGTATATACACATAAGTTACACAGAATTCTCCGATAAACCATGAACTAGCCTGTATATGTTGTGGTACATACACATAAGTTACACAGAATTCTCTCATAAACCATTAACTATTCTAAGTGATACAGTATGCTATGATAAAGTTGGGATAAGTGATGTACTTGAGTGTATGCCTATTCTTTATGTTACAGAATCCCTTACAGTAGTGCAGAGGATGCCTGCATCAAACGGTGTCCAGTGTGCCATGTACCAATAGAGAGAAATGATGGCTGTGCCCAGATGATGTGCAAGAGATGTAAACATGTGTTCTGCTGGTACTGCTTGGCGTCACTTGATGTTAGTACAACACATATCATTAAATCTTATAGGATTATACTCAACTTTTCCTTTAATTTTCAGAAAGCCTTTTTTGAACATCAAGACATAGTGTTATCAGATAGGAAATAAGAAAATAACCCAAACTGGTTCAATAAAACTTTCCAAAGGCTTTACAATGTCAAGTAACTATCAACCTGAACTTTTTCTTATCAAAGTTATTATTTACATCTTTAGTGATGTAAGTGCCTTTTGTCAGTATACTGTGACCAGTTGGGATGTCCGGCTGGAGGACTTCACTAGTATTATACTTCAGGGTGGTAGCACTATAGATGACTTCAATTGCACTTTCACAAGAAAGCTCTTATGAACATAATGTAGCCTAAATGACATGCAAGCAACAAAGACACTCGCTTCGCATAGACTATGAGGCTGTCCTTAAATGACCCTGGCAATTGATAAGACATCAAGCAGTGTAAACTGAACCTTGAATACTAGTGTTCAAACAAAATTACCATATACCAACATAACACATGTATCTCTAAAGAGAGGTTATATGAAATAACTATAAAAATCTTAATATCTGGTTATATGTAGGTAATAGCTTTATACAGATGTCACATGATTATATAAAGGTCATATGCTACATACAGCCCATATATATATATATATATAGAGGTCATATGTATAGAGGTAAGGTTATATAAAGAGGTTATTTTCGCTGTATAGAGCTCACATGTGAGATGTTTATGAAGATGTTATATTATTTAGAGGGCATGTTTCTTTAGATTTCATGTTTATATTGAGATTATATTATATAGAGGTCATATGTATTGAGGTCATGTCATATAAAGAGGTTAATCAGTTTGCTGTGTAGAGGTCAGATGTTTAAAAAGAAGTCATATATAGGTATAAAGAGGTCAGATGTTTATAAGATGTCATGTTAGTTAGAGGACATTTTTCTGTAGATATCGTATGTTTCTGTAGATGTCATATGTTTCTGTAGATGTCGTATGTTACTGTAGATATCGTATGTTACTGTAGATGTCATATGTTTCTGTAGATGTTGTATGTTACTGTAGTGTCATATGTTACTCTAGAAGTCATATGTTTCTTTAGATGGCATATGTACAGAGGTCACAAATCTACTACTTACGGAGAATTATCTAGAGGTTATATGTATCTTCCACAGTACTATATACATAAGAACTTCTATTTTTAGGATGATTTTCTGCTGAGACACTATGATAAAGGTCCTTGTAAGAACAAGTTAGGACACTCCAGGGCCTCTGTTATCTGGCACAGGACACAGGTGAGTTATCCTAAAACTGAGCAATCCTATTAATATACTGTTCACTTCCAAGACAAAACTATAACATTCAGATGTATATATCAAGTTACTATTTAGGATATGCCTGCACGTGTAGTTATGTTCATGGTTTGATCAAAGATAGATAATTTTATCATAAAATGATTGTAAGTTTCAAAAATGTCATTAATGAATATGATTATGTTACATTAACTAAACAAAAAGATCTGTGGAGTTATGAAAAAGAAATCTGAAGGAAAGGTCAATTTCAAACAGATCAACCATTTTTGCTTTATGGTTCACTTCAGAGATGTTAGCTGTTGATTTATTCTTTTGCAGGTGGTAGGAATTTTTGCTGGATTTGGAGTCCTGCTACTGGTTGCCTCCCCTTTTCTGCTGTTGGCAGCCCCTTGCATCCTCTGTTGCAAGTGTAAGATCTGTAAATGCTGTGAAGATGATGATGAACCTCAGCCACCATTATGACATTCCAACAGGACATTACCATGGTAACCCAAGATGTTGATGGCTGATGCTCAAAAAGAAATCCAAAGAATTGTATTTATTAATGAGTTACAGTCTGTGACGCGTCTGCTTTGTGATAGAAGGTAGAGGCCAGAGGACATTATGTGATATAAAGACGACTGATGCTTTATGAATATGTGCAATTTACATATTCAAGCATTTTCTACATATATTATTTTTCCAAACTGAATATGTATGATTATATGTTTGTATAAACTGATATATCTTTGCTGCTTTTAATTTTACCTTTTATGTGTTCTATTCATAAACGATCTGTGTCATGAATATTTATTAGTGTGTCTAATTATAGCACAAATCTTTATCCTGAGTGATGTAATCACATGCATGCTAATTATAACTACTCATCCAGATCTTTTACTGAAGATTCTGACAAGAATATTTATCCTTAAATTCACTTCTTTTTTTTTCTGATTGCTGAATGTGTAATCTCCATATGATATTTGTACCAGTTTGCACATATCTTATTTTAATTGTTAACATGAAAATATAGGGTTGACAACACAGATTTGGAGAAAAGTTATTTGTAAATAATTCTATTTAAGTCATGGCTTAAGTTTTCTGTTTAGTTTAGTTATTTTTGTTTGCACAAAGTTATTTTCATTTTTTAAATGGAATATTTATTGTTATTGTTCATTTTAATGTATGTTTTTTTTTTTAAATGTATGTATGGTTTTAGTGCTTATTCAAAGAGTCTTTCTGTTAGAAAGTTCTCATTTCAATAGTCACAAACTGAACCAAAGATTACTGTGATAACCCTCAAACAAAATATTAAATTAAAACCATGCTCTAGATTAATATCAAAACTGATTCTCGAATGGCATTCTTTTAAACTTTATCAATTAAACACCATTTATTTTTGTAATTTAGGGAAATTCTGATATTTATGAAACACAATCAGTGTTTTTGATGTAGAATAACAAAGACTTGAAATTAAGAGACCATCACATTTACAAAACAGCATTAATTTTATAGAAATGGTAGTAAGTAATTGTGTTTGTCTATTTTAGCTTTTCTGGTTTATGAAATTGTTTTATTTATGTGTTGTGTTATGCAACTAATTGTGCTTTTAATAAAAATAATATTGAAGTATCAAGCTCATGACAAACATATTCTTTTTTTTCACTTTTTTTATTTATACTGCCATTGTATTATTTCATGATTTTCAAAAGAAATATTATGCTTGGAATATTTTTTTAAGTAAAATATTAAATAGTATGCTCCTGACATATACAGTTATCCATGTGAAGACAACAGATGAGTCGTATATCAAACACACGCTCTTCTGTCGCCCCATACAGTGTGACAGTTTGTAGAAACACCTTATTTAGCAAAACTCACAAAAACGGATGAGATTTACTTCCCTTGCCTAATAAGTTATTGTGCTGTATACCCATGTACAATAAATTGCAGTATTAATATATTAAACATTATTAACATATTGACTATTTTGAATAAATTAACAATTATATGAAGTATTCTATAATACATAAAAAATATCTTGATATTGAAAATTATTTCCTATACAACACTAAACTGTTGGTTAGATAGGAATGTGTACTTGACATTTTTCATGTTATGGTATGTATCATAATTATATTTGGAATTGTAAAAGGAACAATAAGTTAGAACATTCCAGTTTGAAACCGTATATATTTTATTTCATAGATTGAAAATTTTAAAGCTGAAGTTTACAAAGTTGTTTTTTTTTTACTATAATAATTGTTCATAAGCTTTAGATTGGTCAACAGACATTATTTCATACAAGTGGTATCAGTTTTGTTTCCTGAATGTAAAGGTCATTGATAAACCTAATTCTACAGTAATGTTAGAAAGTGTGTTTTATTCATCATAGGTCAATATGATCTTTGTGTCTAGCTTCATTGACTCTTTCAGTAGATAAGATGTCCATATTATCCATAAATTACCATTATAATACAGTGTACTTTGCTATGATATTGTATATGGACAAGTGGTGATATATTTTGTATCGGTTAAATTTTTTGTGATATTTTGCCTGTCTCAGAGAGTGCTTTCAAACTAGTCAAAGTAGCCATTAGGTTTTGGATTGTTACGTGTATTGTATTAATTATGTTGTCAACACCAAAATCAGCTTGTAATGTTTACTATACAAAACTTAATCCAGACTGTGATTAGATTGTTAATTCATCCGTGGCTTCACACAATACTACAGCATTGGGTATGTATTGGTCATTTTACCATGAATTCTTTCTTTTTGTTTCTGTCGGTTAATCTATCAAAATCAAAACAGTAACTATACCCCCAAATAGATAAGGATTGGTATCTTTCATCAATTTGTTTGTCTGATAACCCAATATACACATATTCACACCTTAGTATTACCCAACCAAGGGTCTACACCTTATTAGCTATTGGTGGTCATTGGTCAAAGTTAAAGGTCAACCTTGATCATTTTGAAATAAAAGGATTGTGTACAACATATCTAATGAACCATTTGACAGATTTAATTTTATTTAATTGCAACATAGCTTCAACTACCATGATCTATAACTGATAAAATTTTAGAAGTAATGGGTCAAGATCAAAGGTCAAAGGTCACCCTTGACAATTTTTTGAGATAGAAAACTTATGTACAAGATATCTCATGGATCTCTTTTGGGTTAAATTCTTATCATGGCACCACTTATCAAGTTATATTTATCATTCTCATTGTATTTTTTAATTTATCCGCTTTTTAATTTAGATTTTATTAAGGTTTCATTTTTATGATATAGTACTTGTTTTGGCTTTCCAGTAGTCTACAGGGTAATCTTCAAATCTGAAAATGTACTTTTTTTCTGTTCAATGTTTATCATAAGATTTACAAATCCGAGACATGTGAAGTCGCTTTTCATTGACTTCATGATAAACCAGGGTATTTTGTAGTAAGCCAAAGGGCCAATATCAGCAGGAAGCCATTATTATTTCTCTAAAGCATACAACTAGCCTTGAACATAGTGTTGTCACTAAGCTGTGAAAGGTAAACCAATCCATTAAATGATATTTCTCACTCTCACATCTCTTCAAACATTTTTCAACAAATTGTAAAGCCATTTTGAAAGTGTTATTAAGTTGGGTTTACTTGTATGGGCGAGTTTATACCAGAACATGACATTTTGCAGAAAATTAACCTGGTACATGATCATGAAAGGTGAATTTTCAATAATCTAGATGTGGAAAGTTTGAACTACCATACTAGATTAAAGGGTTTATTATCCTAGAAAAAGGTGCATTGACAGCGAGTCAGATCTATTTGTGCATGTTTCTGGGAAGTCTTTAAGCCAAAATATGTACATTGTGAATAAGCCAATTGAATGAAGTGATAAAGTCTGAAATCTGGAAATGGTGACATTCATCTGTTCTGAATTAAACATTGTACATCAATAATGTATCATTGTTCAGTGTTTACACTTGGCAAAAAAACAGACTTGTTTTGCATCATCCATATTTATTGCTTGGTATTTTAATAAAGACTGTTCATGATTTGCTCATGGCTGTTGAGCTTTATTTCTCTTTCAGTGCATGTAACCAAACCTGATGCGTCTTTAAGCATGGCCAATCTCTTACACGTTTTTATATGCCCTCAGATTAAAAGATTGGGGCATATAGTTTTTTCATGCTGTCTGGTATCATCTTTCACCTTGCCCATAGCTATGACTGCAAGAGGTGGAGCTTTCATACTTGGCATGCATTCAAGACAAGACCATTCTAGTGATAGGAAAATTTTTGACCATGTTACATTGGACCTACACTTGCCATAACTATTACACCGCGAGAGGCAAGACTTTCATGTCTGGCACGTGTTCCTCATGACAAAACCTTTCTTGTGGTACCAAATTTTTTGATCATTTGAAAGAAGAGTCGCTACCATAATAAATATGTTCATTAACGTGTGCATGCAGTAAGCATGTCTTACTCATTAGTTTTAATGTCCCACCTCAAACTTTTGTTTCATCCATGCTTCATAAACACATCTCATTTTCATTTACAGATGTCATTTTTTCTGCTCCAACATTAAGAGGGAGAGTATGAAGTGTTATTAGTGTTAAAATCTGTCAGCAACTCAGAATCAATGAAAATAGAATATTTAGCAAACAATTCTTTAAATACCTGCCTGTCTGACTAGTTAAGGTTATTAATTCCAAATCTTCAATAGTTTCCATAAGAAAGATAGTTTGTAGAGACCTTGTCAAAATCTTAGAATTACAAAATTTTATGTTCTTCAAATTAAAGCACTATTTTAATTTAATAATATTTAAGTCATTTTGTTTGTCACAGGCACTTTGGAATTGACAGTCTAGATTTAGAGTAAAAACTTGTCCCAAGAGTACAATTTTGTAACAAACACTTTCCGTACAATTTTTTAAGTCTCTAAATTTTTGGCAAAACTGATAACTAATTTCAGTATCCAGATTTCCATGTAGTACTTGATAATCACTGAACCTCTACCCATTGTTTTCCCCTTTATAATCTAGTGAAACATGTTCTTAAGTGTTACAGAGAAAATACCAAACAAAACTGTACTAGTATAATCATTTAATACATTTAGATCATAAATATAAAAATAAAGAGGACGTTACTAAAATGATCATGACGCATAAAACATTCACCATCATAAAACTAACACAAGGATTTATCTTCACTTACAAACCTTAAAATTACATAAAAACTTAAAATCTCTTAAAATTCATTCACACAGATGCACCTAAAATGATTCCAATACAAACATACATTATGACAACTTCAGATAAAACATCTATACAATATGGCCGTTAATTGCACAGTTCTGGGCAGTATATAGCTTGAGCTAGAGATCACAAGAGAATGTCGCATCACAACTAATTTAAAAGTCTTCATCAAGTGAGAACGAGTGACTACCTGATGAACCACCACTCATTACTCCCATCTTCTGATATTCTCCAACTCTCTTCTCAAAGAAATTGGTTTTTCCTTCCAATGAGATTTGCTCCATAAAGTCAAATGGGTTTTCAACATTGTACAACTGTAAAAAAAAATTTGTTTTAAATTATTTCAAGGTTTAAGTTAAAAAAAACTTGCATTAAAGCGAAGACATCTCATTTTTTTATCACCAGAAAACACATCAGTTTTGGTCAAAAGTTGGTAACTGGTATTCATAAGATGTGATATAGAAAAAACAGTGTCCTGTAAAGTACATCAAAAGTAACTCAGAAAGAACCATAGATTTAAGCAGGAGCACTTCCATTTATGAATCTCCATGATATATATCTTGTGAAACTACATTAAAAGCCTGTCAAGAGAAGAAAAAAACTACCCTACTCTCAAGGGTTTAAAACCGAATGTCAGTACAATGTTTCACATCTTACCTTATCACATTTTAACTCCACCAGTAGTCGGTCAGCCACAAACTCGATGTATTGCCTCATCAACACACAGTTCATGCCAATCAAGTTGACTGGAAGAGCATCTGTAAGGAATTCCTGCTCGATCTTTACAGCATCATCAATGATTTCCTGCACTCTTTCTTGTGTTGGTTTATTTGCAAGATGGTTGAACATGAGACAGGCAAAGTCACAGTGTAGACCCTGTAATAGTACAAAAACAGTTGGTTATATTTTAGATAAATGGATCAGAAATAAGAAAATCCAGAAATTTATCAAATTTTTAGCAAGAAATACAAGTATGGCAAACGTTATCCTTACCTCATCCCTACTGATCAACTCATTGCTGAAAGTTAGACCAGGCATGATTCCTCTCTTCTTGAGCCAGAATATGGCAGCAAAGCTACCAGAGAAAAAGATACCCTCTACAGCAGCAAATGCTACAACACGTTCTGAATAATCTGAATCCTGATCCCCGATCCATCGCAAGGCCCAGTCAGCCTTCTTTTTCACACATGGCATTGTCTCGATGGCATTAAAAAGGAAATCCCTGTGGAGTATATGAAGAGATTTTTAGACAGGTTTCTACTAAATAATTATCTTAGCAGATATTTATGTGAAATTAAAATTATTTCAATTTAATTCTGATTTTGACCTTTTTAGACTTCTTGAAACTTGAATTACTGCACAAGATAATTTATTTGACTAGAGATGGGGACAAATTACTTTGATATATGTATGTTGAAAAATCCTTTCTTTGATCTTTATAGCATTATCCAACTTCTATGCTACAAATGATGGTATATATAATAGAATCTGCTTATAAGTTATTTTTTTATACCTTTGTTCATTTTACAAGATATCTTACCTTTGAACAGGGTCTTTGATATAGGTGTCAATTAGAAGACTGTACATTTCTGAGTGAATGTTTTCCATGGCTACTTGGAAACCATAGAAACATCTTGCTTCTGTGGCTTGGACTTCCTTGCTGAATCTCTCAACCTAAAAATAAATTTTCAGTTATTAAAAACTGTTATTGGTCTCGTAACCAAATGACATGACTTTCATCAATGCACTAAAAGCAATGTAACGACTTGAAATTCCATACTCACCAAGTTCTCATTGACAATTCCATCACTAGCAGCGAAAAATGCCAGGACATGGGAAATGAAGTGCTTCTCGTCATCCTTAAGGTTTTCCCAGTGGTGCATGTCTTTGGACAGATCAACTTCTTCTGCAGTCCAGAAGGAAGCTTCTGCCTTTTTGTACATCTTCCATATGTCATGGTACTCAATAGGAAACACTACAAAGCGACGAGGGTTCTCCTTTAACAGTGGTTCTTCTTTAAGGACCTTTCTCCTCGGTGCTGGTTTGACCATTTGTTTGATTGGCTGCAATAATGAAATTTTGAATTAAAAACTTGTGATAGGACTTCATGGTTAGAGTCTACAGCATATGCAATTTTATTATTTGCTCTATAAAAAATATGAATTAGGTGATGTTGATGACATCAGTAAATCAAGACGATTCTAAATTGGTAAATACACATATATATATACATTATGAATTTTAAACCTCAGATTCACAGTGAAGCAATGTTGATATATTCATGTTGCTTTGTTATTTTACAATTTGTAATATCAACATAATAGTATATAACGTCTCACCTCACTAACTGGCTTTGTTATGATGTTCTGAAAAGAAAAGAAAACTCCAAATTTAACATTCATCAGTCATAGCTATACAATGAAAAGGACAAGATTACAAAAGTAAAAAATTCACTTTTGCTGCAAAAAAAAAAGTTTAGTATTTTGCAAAACATCCCTCCCTCAAAATCAACAGGAAACAGGACTTGCAATTTGTTTTTTAAGTCTACAATTTTGACATCAAAACAATAGTATCCCTTGCACAAGTACCTGTAAGCATACCTAACAGTTTAATAAGGTGAGGTGATCTCCCTCGGTCAAATGTTGATAAATTCGGCAAGTTAGGTTTATAGAAAATCATTTTTACTAGCCCTACATAATTACTTAAGGAAATGCATGTTCATACTTACATGTTAGACGTCTTAAGGACAAGTTTTTTCCATAAATTATGAATGACCTTTGACCTCAGTACATCACATTACTTGTTTTGCCCATTTGTAAATTTTAGTTTAAGAAAGTTTTTTCATTCTTATTAACATGTATACTGCATTTATCTTTTAGTTCTTCATAACATTATAATCAGCCAGTCTCTAACTTATCTCTGAACTGTTCCTTGTTTTAGATTATGCTATATTAGCATGAATGGGTCAAATTTTACACTTTCCCATTTGGCATATATGTATATCTAATTACCAATGATATATACTGTGATAATTTATTTGGCGTAAATATAATTGTTTGGTTATTTATAATTCTAAGAATTGCCCTACAGAGCTAATGCTTTATTGTTCAAAAACAACTCTTTCTTGTATCTTAAATCAATTTTTACAGTACTAAAATAATATTTTAGATAACAATACAAGGCCACTTAAGTAACTAGTGACACTTACTTGAGAGTTATTTATAATATGATAGAAATAAATCAAGATATGCCTGGCCTGTCCGTTCAAGTTTTTGCTAATGCTAGGATAGCAGTTCCAAGATTTTTTTTTCATAAAGTTTCAAAAAATGAAAAAAAAAAATAAATATCAAATTTAGATTCCCTCCAAAAGAAAAATGTGTTCATAACTGATAAAAATATTCCCAAATTATTAGTTATTTCAGTATTACCTGTTTTTGATGGTCTCCTAAAACTTTAGGCTTGAGACCTTCTGGTGCCTGAAAGAAAAAAACACTTTTACAACAAACCAAAGATTGCAAGTTTCTAAATGTAATATTTTCTCTTAAGATCTTAAAATACTGAATAGAATGCAGCAAACAATGACAAAATAACTATGGTAGTGAATATTGCGTTGTGTAACCACTAAACCACATTCCCGCCAGCTACCAAACAAAGTGAATTATCATATTTATGGTAAACAACTTAAATATGATAATTCACTCCAAGTTCTTTTCATAACGAATAAAATTCGCTCATAGTTTTCTTTCCATGTTTAAGACTTTTAAGAAAAGATTGTTTTCTGACAAGAGATATCGTTTGTTTCAGCACAAGGGATACAAAGTTACGTTGCATAAGCACTCAAAATGTCTTGAATATCGATTTGTATATGTTTTTTACTGCTTTTTAAAACAGATATATCCGGTTACTATCCGCCACTTCTTTATAATGCTTTTGTTCTTTGAAAACTAAATGAGAAAACAGGGTCGTTACAAAACGGTTTTTCACAACGTTCAACGAGGCAGATAGTGTTACACAACTTTTGGCGGGAGGCCACGTCTTGTTTTGGGTGCAAAAAAGACATTGCAAAGTTAACCACTTTCTTGATTATAAGACACATTACAATAAACAAGTCCAACATGGTGAAATTAATTTGAAGAAAATATATTTCCAGTTTACATAACTTTTTGGACGCCAACGCGCCATTTTCTGAGAGGAAAACAAATTCAGATACTCACTTTGTTTTCGTCGTTAATTTGCATCTTCTTCATGAGAGCAGCAGTTGACACTTGTGTAGTTCTGGGAGAGTTTGCAGACAACATGTTTTAAAATTATATTAACGAGTTACTAAAAATATTGTGCAAGAAATTTTGTAAAATTCAATGAAAATAAAATACGACTGCACCGGTCTGCCAGTTCACGAGCTAATAATAATTTTTACGGGAAACTGCTTCATATTATCGCGCTCGTTTGTCAACAAACCAATCAGTGACGAGAAGAACGACGATTGGACAGAATGGAATCACCCATAGGTGTCGTAGCTTATGATTGACTGATATTGTTTGACAACAAGCTTTTACTAGACTTGTGTTATATTGTTTACTGAAACTATTCATACGATGAAAGAGACGGAAATTGCTAATCTTGAATCATACTCGCAATGACAAGTAATTGTGAAATATCAAATTTATTCATTTCAACGATACTCCATGCTTTTGGATGATTCTACTTTCAATAGCATAGCAACCCATGTGAATTATATTTCAAGTATATTATTACGCGCTGAAAATGTTTTTGTCTTTACTAATTCCTTTCAGTGAATTCTTGAATCAAATTATTTATAAATCAAATAATAAATCTCAATTGCAATGAAAAAATCACATCCAGTGCATGGATTGTCTTAAAAAACAAGGCACTACTTCGGTGGATGTATTTCCTGTATAATGTAAACAATGTTATAGTTTAGAAATGGCTGCCGCTGACAGCATCCGCGTGGTTGATGATGATTATGTGAAGAGGATACATAGTAGAAACCCGTCAGGACATTTACATAAGGGTATGACTTATTGCTGTTGTCGATGGGTTGGAATAGTAATAGTGAATTTAAGCATTTTCACCGTTTCGATTCGATAGCCTGGTAGTTTTTGACGACTAACATCCGTGAACATCGAAGATGACCGATTCTTATTTATACATTTAGAGTGTTTTTTTTTTAATTCGTCATATGTGTTGCTTATTAAGAATCAATATTCTTTTCGTTTCGGCACTGAACGGTATCCTATAATTGTCATAAACTGAAACATTCCACGAACTGCACCACACGAATCTTTTTGCAAAGAGCATATTGTAGGCCCTAAATGATGCTAGTCCATAAATGCTCTCCTCAGCAACTGTTATTTATTAAAAAGAAAGGAAATGAACAAATTTGTTACACAGAAACAGCAGAAAAGAAATGTTGGATACAAACGTTACCAAACTGAAGTCTTTATACCAAAATATTCAAAAGTTGAAATGACTATTCCGATGGTTTCAATGTAGGATAAAGCCAGAACTTTCCAGTACCTTTAAAATTATCTCATAAGCACCAGGTATTTTAGATGTATTCAATTGTGAATGGCCATTTTACATCACAGCATCGATCACTTAGATGTATTTTTACACTGTGCTCCACAATTGTAACTTTTTAGGTCATGTCAGTTCAAAGCCAAAACTACCACCAAAATTACCAATTAATTCAACAATCATTAAGAAGTCCCACAACTTTGAATTCATTTATCATTTGATATTCGATGTAAATCCTTCACACATGATATGTAGATATTGTGCTTTATTTGATCTACATAATGTAATTAAAATAATTCAGGCCACTTAAAACAACAATTGGCAATGGTATCAAATATATCACTGTACTTAGCCTTAGATGTAGGATTATACTCTGATAAAGAACTCTAGAAATTTGATGTCTGAATTTCATATAATCACTTTTGATTTCATTACCTGTTAAAATATGATGCCAGAATTTTTTTGTATGAAGATTTTGAAAACTTTTTTTTTTTTTTTTTTTTTTAATTTTTTCAGGGCATGGTATTGTGGCAGCTACAGCATCAATTCCAAGCAAATACCAGACTATTGTAACTGACAATGCTGATAAACGAGGATTTCTTTCCAAAGCCAAAAGATTCAAATATGATGCATTTATTGTATGTACCATGATTTATTGAAAATATTTCCATGTTTCCAAACTCCAATGAAACATCTACTCTTATATACACTAATTGGTCTCTTCAACACTTTTAATAGAAACAAATTTTATTTACTCATGAACATTTAATTTTGATATAATGATTTATTTGATAATATTTTTATTCGTTCAAAATACTATATTGATGACATTTGTTCAGTGACTTGTAGTATATGTATGTCATATTATTGATAATCATCACATGTAGATTTCTAAAAATTCTTCTCCTTTATTCAAAGTGTAAATAAAAATTGAATTTGCCAGGCCTTAACTAAAACCTGCTGATAATTACAGGAAGATGGTATTGGTGAAAATTGGATGATCTATATTTCAGACGGATGCACCAGGCCCAGGTGGTTATGTTGGACATTCAAAAATGGACAATGAGTCAGTTTCATATTCCAAAAAAGGAACTGGAAGTTTTGCTTCAAAGGTAATAAGGCTTGCAAGACTAAAAACACCTTCAGTCTTTCCATTTATGTTGCAACAAAACAGTAGTTGATTGGCTAACAATGATTCCTTTCTCTATTATTTTTAAAACCGTTGTAACTTGTGAGTCACTCTGGAAATCTGATTATGTACATTTACATTTCCACTGTTATAACTATACTCAGTGTATTTCACGACATTTTTGTTTTTCAATGTAAATGGAATAAATTGACAGTTTGAACCAATAAAAAAAGATTTTTTATCTTTCTATACAAATTAATTTGCAATATTGTATATTTTAAAAATGTCAAAACGTCTAAAGAATCATGGTAGATTTCAACATTATCAGGAGTCTGATAATCAAGTACACTCCACTGATTTAATGGAATTTTTATTTATATCACTAATTTTTTTAATATTTATGCATTGTACTGATTTCTACTGAATCTTTAGTCCAAGAAAGGTCTGAAGTACCAGCTGACCAGTGCTCCAGGCCCAGGTATCTATGGTCTGCCAAGCATGCTACGTACTCAGCGAGATTACAACCAGGCTACATGTACCAGTGCATTCCACAAACCTATAGCTCAGCCATCCAGCAAAACAGAGGCTCGGCCAGCACCTAATCAGTATGATGTAAGCCATTGTCTGAAGAAAAATGTTTGATATTAAAAGACCACTATGATAAGTATTTTGTAATTGTTCTTGTCTGGTTACCTATATGGTATTTTTCCTCTTAGTGAAAAAAAAATTGTTTTAAAAATCCAGAACAGACTTTTTTATTTGATTTGATTCCCTTTGAACTTCAGTTTAAAATGGTCTTAGTTTTAATTACTGTAACAGGATTTTTAATCTTAAATTTTTCAGATATTGAAAGTTAAATATGGAAAGGCAAACAATGTGACAGCTAATGCAGGATTCAAATCTCAAACCAAAAGAGAAGTGATAAAACTTGATGACTTAGCCAGAAACCCAGCTCCAGGTTAGTAAGATTTTTGTTGGAGCTAGAAGCACTGCTCCAGGTTAGTAATATTCTTATCAGGGCTAGAAACCTTGCTCCAGGTTAGTAAAATTCTTGTCAGGGCTAGAAACCCTGCTCCAGGTTAGTAAAATTCTTGTCAGGGCTAGAAACCCTGCTCCAGGTTAGTAAAATTCTTATCAGGGCTAGAAACCTTGCTCCAGGTTAGTAAAATTCTTGTCAGGGCTAGAAACCCTGCTCCAGGTTAGTAAAATTCTTGTCAGGGCTAGAAACCCTGCTCTAGGTTAGTAAGATTCTTTTCGGGCTAGAAACCTTGCTCCAGGTTAGTAATATTTTTGTTGGGGCTAGAAACCTTGCTCCAGGTTAGTAATATTCTTATCAGGGCTAGAAACCCTGCTCCAGGTTAGTAAAATTCTTATCAGGGCTAGAAACCCTGCTCCAGGTTAGTAAAATTCTTATCAGGGCTAGAAACACTGCTCCAGGTTAGTAAGATTCTTGTCAGGGCTAGAAACCCTGTTCCAGGTTAGTAAGATTCTTGTCAGGGTTGAAAACACTGCTCCAGGTTAGTAAGATTCTTGTCAGTGAAACCCTGCTCCAGGTTAGTTAGATTCTTATCAGGGCTAGTAACTCTGCTCCAGGTTAATAAGATTCTTGTCAGTGAAAGCCTGTTCCAGGTTAGTAAGATTCTTGTCAGGGCTAGAAACACTGTTCTAGGTTAGTAAGATTCTTGTCAGTGAAAGCCTGTTCCAGGTTAGTAAGGTTCTTGTCAGGGCTAGAAACACTGTTCCAGGTTAGTAAGATTCTTGTTAGGGCTAGAAACACTGTTCCAGGTTAGTAAGATTCTTGTCGGGGCTAGAAACATCTTCTCCAGGTTAGTAAGATTCTTGTCAGTGAAACCCTGCTCCAGGTTAGTAAGATTCTTGTCAAGGGAATGCTGCATCAAGTTTGTAAGATTCTGTTCAGGAAAAATCTGTTCCAGGTTAGTAAGTTTCTTGTCAAGACTAGATGCCTAACTTCAGTTTTGTATGATCCTGTCAGGGTTATATATATTGTTTAGGTTAGTTTCCTGACCTGACCAGAAATCCTGCTTCAGGTTGATAAGTTAACATTTTAAAAAATCTTTCTTCAGTTTATAAATATCCCTGATGATGTTCCATGTAAGTAAAATACTGTATTGACTTCACTAGAAACCCTGATTCAAGTTTGTAATATTCCCACCTAGGCCCAAAACATTTATATTTATGAATGAAACATAATGATGTAAAATGAACATGTACATTATTGTGTATGTTTGTATAAACAAACAAAAAAATAAAATCTTGTTAAAAAAGTCTCAAATATAAAGATTTGAACCAAGGAGTAAATAATACAAAGTTGAAATTTAATAGCTTTATTTGATAGAAAAACTATGATATCAAATAAAAATGTCTGTTCAAATTTATTTATGTCTTATTCATTTTTTTACAGGTCATTATGATGTTAAAGATGATCTCCTCCATGACAGTGCTAAAATTCCTCTCTCTAGTTTCAAGTCAAAGTCTAAGCGACAAATGCATGCAGACCCAGCTCCGGTAAATAAACGCAAATACAAGACAGACTACATAACCAGATCTACAGGACAGACTGCATAGCCAGATACACAGGACAGAATACATAACCAGATACACAGGACAGAATACATAACCAGATCTACAGGACAGAATACATAACCAGATACACAGGACAGAATACATAACAAGACCTACAGGACAGACTGCATAACCAGATACACAGGACAGAATGCATAACCAGATCTACAGGACAGACTACATAACCAGATCTACAGGACAGACTGCATAACCAGATACACAGGACAGACTACATAACCAGATCTACAGGACAGAATACATAACCAGATACACAGGACAGAATACATAACCAGATACACAGGACAGAATACATAATAAGACCTACAGGACAGACTGCATAACCAGATACACAGGACAGAATGCATAACCAGATACACAGGACAGAATACATAACCAGATACACAGGACAGAATACATAACCAGATCTACAGGACAGACTGCATAGCCAGATACACAGGACAGAATACATAACCAGATACACAGGACAGAATACATAACCAGATACACAGGACAGAATACATAACCAGATACACAGGACAGAATACATAACCAGATACACAGGACAGAATACATAACCAGATACACAGGACAGAATACATAACCAGATACACAGGACAGAATACATAACCAGATCTACAGGACAGACTACATAACCAGATCTACAGGACAGACTGCATAGCCAGATACACAGGACAGAATACATAACCAGATACACAGGACAGAATACATAACCAGATACACAGGACAGAATACATAGCCAGATACACAGGACAGAATACATAATAAGACCTACAGGACAGACTGCATAACCAGATACACAGGACAGAATACATAACCAGATACACAGGACAGAATACATAACCAGATCTACAGGACAGACTTCATAACCAGATCTACAGGACAGAATGCATAACCAGATACACAGGACAGAATGCATAACCAGATCTACAGGACAGAATACATAACCAGATACACAGGACAGAATACATAACCAGATACACAGGACAGAATACATAACCAGATACACAGTACAGAATACATAACCAGATACACAGGACAGAATACATAACCAGATACACAGGACAGAATACATAACCAGATACACAGGACAGAATACATAACAGATACATAACCAGATACACAGGACTGCATAACCAGATACACAGGACAGACTACATATCCAGATCTACAGGACAGACTTCATATCCAGATCTACAGGACAGAATACATAACCAGATACACAGGACAGAATACATAACCAGATACACAGGACAGAATACATAACCAGATCTACAGGACAGACTACATAACCAGATACACAGGACAGAATACATAACCAGATACACAGGACAGAATACATAACCAGATACACAGGACAGAATACATAACCAGATCTACAGGACAGAATACATAACCAGATACACAGGACAGAATACATATACACCAGATACACAGGACAGACAATACATAACCAGATACACAGGACAGAATACATAACCAGATACACAGGACAGAATACATAACCAGATACACAGGACAGACAATACATGCACAGACAGATACACAGGACACAGGACAGGACAGACTACATAACCAGATCTACAGGACGGACAGAATACATAACCAGATACACAGGACAGAATACATAACCAGATCTACAGGACAGAATACATAACCAGATACACAGGACAGAATACATAACCAGATACACAGGACAGAATACATAACCAGATCTACAGGACAGAATACATAACCAGATACACAGGACAGAATACATAACCAGATCTACAGGACAGAATACATAACCAGATACACAGGACAGAATACATAACCAGATACACAGGACAGAATACATAACCAGATACACAGGACAGAATACATAACCAGATCTACAGGACAGACTGCATAACCAGATACACAGGACAGAATGCATAACCAGATCTACAGGACAGAATACATAGCCAGATACACAGGACTGACTGCATAACCAGATCTACAGGACAGAATACATAACACAGGACAGAATACATAACCAGATACACAGGACAGAATACATAACCAGATACACAGGACAGAATACATAACCAGATACACAGGACAGAATACATAACCAGATACACAGGACAGAATACATAACCAGATACACAGGACAGAATACATAACCAGATACACAGGACAGAATACATAACCAGATACACAGGACAGAATACATAACCAGATACACAGGACAGAATACATAACCAGATACACAGGACAGAATACATAACCAGATACACAGGACAGAATACATAACCAGATCTACAGGACAGAATACATAACCAGATACACAGGACAGAATACATAACCAGATACACAGGAAAGAATACATAACCAGATCTACAGTACAGAATACATAACCAGATACACAGGAAAGAATACATAACCAGATCTACAGGACAGAATACATAACCAGATACACAGGACAGAATATATAACAAAATCTACAGGACAGAATACATTACAAGATACACAGGAAAGAATACATAACCAGATCTACAGTACAGAATACATAACCAGATACACAGGACTGACTGCATAACCAAATCTACAGGACATAACCAGATCTACAGTACAGAATACATAACCAGATACACAGGACAGAATACATAACCAGATCTACAGGACAGAATACATAACCAGATACACAGGACAGAATACATAACCAGATACACAGGACAGAATACATAGCCAGATACACAGGACAGACTGCATAGCCAGATACACAGGACAGAATACATAACCAGATACACAGGACAGAATACATAACCAGATCTACAGGACATAACCAGATACACAGGACAGAATACATAACAAGATACACAGAACAGATTAGATACAAGACAGAATACAGCATTTTGGGCTGTATATGGTTTTGGTCGCTTTTCTGGAATTTGGTTAATAAAATGGATTAAGCCTGACAAAATGATATGTGGGTTTACTGTAGCATTAGCATGTGTTTTGGGGGCATTACTAGGTTTTGGACATTTAAAAATTGACAGTATATTACCATTCCAGATACGCTGGGCATAATTCATGAGCAAATATACAGGAAAGAATACATAATCAGATATACAGGACAGAATACGTAACCAGATACACAGGACAGAATACATAACCAGATATACAGACACAGGACTAGTTTGGGGGCTATACAGGACAGATTAGCAGTTTTTATCAAAGAATTAGGCCTACTGTTGTTTGTGTTGTTTTAGTGAATCAGTCCTACTACCAACATTAAAGTTAATGATCAGATATATTACATTGATTGAATCATCACTCTGAAAGTGTATTGTTATCACACAGGTACCTGGACCTGGTGCCTACAAACCAGGAGAGGCTGTAGATCCTGCAAAAAAGCAGTTGTTTCCGTAAGTATGGTCTATGTCCTCAGGATATGATATTGTCAAGGTGAAGGATCATCAATGTTTTTTAGAAAAGTGGCCTTGACCTCCTTTCGTGGCCAATGGAATGATAATTTTGGAAATCTACAAGTATTTCTCGGTGAAAAATAAAGATTTTTTAGACAACCATAAGTCATGGCAGTGGTATCTTGTATTAATTTTGTACTTACAAAGAATTCAGTTGTCAATATACACTGTACATGTAAAAGTTTATGGTTACTTTCATTTTGCTATTTTAGGAGAAAGCATTATTTATGCATATCAGCGCCTGCTATGCCCCTGCCCTCCACACCTCCCCTGCCTGGCCCAGGGAGCTATGAGGTGGTGGACTATGAGGGACCCCCTAAACACTACATGTCCAGTGCTGCCTTTGTGTCCACATGTAGTAGGTGGACTGGAGCAGCCCAACACATGGAACAGCCTGGTCCAGGTAGGTACATCACTATTATCATTACTCAGTTTACAAGTACATAACATGGAACAGCCTGGTCCAGGGACACATCACTATTATCATTACTCAGTATACATGCATGTCATGATGGAGGGGGTGGGGTCATTTTCAATTTATGTATACAAACATGGTTAGTGTTTCATTACATATTGTATAATGATTAAGGAATACATGCACAACACATAGGTTGTTCAGGCAACAGCAAGCAAATCAATATTTGTCCAGTCATTTAAGTTCTGAAGTATAACAATATCATTTTCAAGGTTAACTGTTGATGTGTGTGTTATAGCAATTTATTGATGTGAACCTTACCCATAAATTATTACAAAACTTGACGAGTCAGAAGAATAATAGGGAAGTAATACAGACTCGGCTGTGGTCATCATAGTTTAGAATAGCTTGACGTTCCCTCAGTCTGACTATGGAATAGATCATCAATGTCACTCTCTGATCAATACACAGATTGGGAGTCTGCACTCACCTCCTTCATATCTACAGCTTTGTAAGAGACACATTTCAGTCTGTATACACAGCTTTATAAGGAGACACATTTCAGTCCCTATCTTCAGCTATGTAGAGTGACACATTTCAGTCCCTTTTCACAGCTTTATAGAGAGAAACATTTCAGTCCCTTTTCACAGCTTTATAGAGAGAAACATTTCAGTCCCTTTTCACAGCTTTATAGAGAGACACATTTCAGTCCCTATCTTCAGCTATGTAGAGAGACACATTTCAGTCCCTATCTTCAGCTATGTAGAGTGACACATTTCAGTCCCTTTTCACAGCTTTATAGAGAGACACATTTCAGTCCCTATCTTCAGCTATGTAAAGTGACACATTTCAGTCCCTTTTCACAGCTTTATAGAGAGAAACATTTCAGTCCCTTTTCACAGCTTTATAGAGAGAAACATTTCAGTCCCTTTTCACAGCTTTATAGAGAGACACATTTCAGTCCCTATCTTCAGCTATGTAGAGAGACACATTTCAGTCCCTATCTTCAGCTATGTAGAGTGACACATTTCAGTCCCTTTTCACAGCTTTATAGAGAGACACATTTCAGTCCCTTTTCACAGCTTTATAGAGTGACACATTTCAGTCCCTATCTCCAGCTATGTAGAGTGACACATTTCAGTCCCTTTTCACAGCTTTATAGAGAGACACATTTCAGTCCCTATCTTCAGCTATGTAGAGAGACACATTTCAGTCCCTATCTTCAGCTATGTAGAGTGACACATTTCAGTCCCTTTTCACAGCTTTATATAGAGACATATTTCCGTATCTATAGCTTTTTAGGGAAACACTTTACAGCCCCTACCTATATCTTTGTAGGGAGATAGCAATCTGATTATCGAATATCAGGTTGTACAGTAGTACATACGATTCCCTGTAGATTGTAGTGTACAGTAATACAGATTCCCTGTAGATTGTGGTGTACAGTAATACAGATTCCCTGTAGATTGTGGTGTACAGTAATCTATCAGATTCCCTGTAGATTGTGGTGTACAGTAATACAGATTCCCTTTAGATTGTGGTGTACAGTAATACAGATTCCGTGTAGATTGTGGTGTACAGTAATACAGATTCCCTATAGATTGTGGTGTACAGTAATACAGATTCCCTTTAGATTGTGGTGTACAGTAATACAGATTCCGTGTAGATTGTAGTGTACAGTAATACAGATTCCCTGTAGATTGTGGTGTACAGTAATACAGATTCCCTGTAGATTGTGGTGTACAGTAATACAGATTCCCTTTAGATTGTGGTGTACAGTAATACAGATTCCGTGTAGATTGTGGTGTACAGTAATACAGATTCCCTATAGATTGTGGTGTACAGTAATACAGATTCCCTTTAGATTGTGGTGTACAGTAATACAGATTCCCTATAGATTGTGGTGTACAGTAATACAGATTCCCTATAGATTGTGGTGTACAGTAATCTATTAGATTCCCTGTAGATTGTGGTGTACAGTAATCTATTAGATTCCCTGTAGATTGTGGTGTACAGAAATCTACCAGATTCCCTGTAGATTGTGGTGTACAGTAATACAGATTCCCTGTAGATTGTGGTGTACAGTAATCTATCAGATTCCGTGTAGATTGTGGTGTACAGTAATCTATCAGATTCCCTGTAGATTGTGGTGTACAGTAATACAGATTCCCTGTAGATTGTGGTGTACAGTAATACAGATTCCCTGTAGATTGTGGTGTACAGTAATCTATTAGATTCCCTGTAGATTGTGGTGTACAGTAATCTATCAGATTCCCTGTAGATTGTGGTGTACAGTAATACAGATTCCCTGTAGATTGTGGTGTACAGTAATCTATCAGATTCCCTGTAGATTGTGGTGTACAGTAATCTATCAGATTCCCTGTAGATTGTGGTGTACAGTAATACAGGTTCCCTGTAGATTGTGGTGTACAGTAATACAGATTCCCTGTAGATTGTGGTGTACAGTAATACAGATTCCCTGTAGATTGTGGTGTACATTAATACAGATTCCCTGTAGATTGTGGTGTACAGTAATCTATCAGATTCCCTGTAGATTGTGGTGTACAGTAATACAGATTCCCTGTAGATTGTGGTGTACAGTAATACAGATTCCCTATAGATTGTGGTGTACAGTAATACAGATTCCCTTTAGATTGTGGTGTACAGTAATACAGATTCCCTGTAGATTGTGGTGTACAGTAATACAGATTCCCTTTAGATTGTGGTGTACAGTAATACAGATTCCCTGTAGATTGTGGTGTACAGTAATACAGATTCCCTGTAGATTGTGGTGTACAGTAATACAGATTCCCTGTAGATTGTGGTGTACAGTAATACAGATTCCCTATAGATTGTGGTGTACAGTAATACAGATTCCCTGTAGATTGTGGTGTACAGTAATACAGATTCCCTGTAGATTGTGGTGTACAGTAATACAGATTCCCTGTAGATAGTGGTGTACAGTAATACAGATTCCCTTTAGATTGTGGTGTACAGTAATACAGATTCCCTGTAGATTGTGGTGTACAGTAATCTATTAGATTCCCTGTAGATTGTGGTGTACAGAAATCTACCAGATTCCCTATAGATTGTGGTGTACAGTAATACAGATTCCCTGTAGATTGTGGTGTACAGTAATACAGATTCCCTGTAGATTGTGGTGTACAGTAATACAGATTCCCTGTAGATAGTGGTGTACAGTAATACAGATTCCCTGTAGATTGTGGTGTACAGTTATCTATTAGATTCCGTGTAGATTGTGGTGTACAGTAATCTATCAGATTCCCTGTAGATTGTGGTGTACAGTTATCTATTAGATTCCCTGTAGATTGTGGTGTACAGTAATCTATCAGATTCCCTGTAGATTGTGGTGTACAGTTATCTATTAGATTCCCTGTAGATTGTGGTGTACAGTAATCTATCAGATTCCCTGTAGATTGTGGTGTACAGTAATACAGATTCCCTGTAGATTGTGGTGTACAGTAATACAGATTCCCTATAGATTGTGGTGTACAGTAATCTATTAGATTCCCTGTAGATTGTGGTGTACAGTAATACAGATTCCCTGTAGATTGTGGTGTACAGTAATACAGATTCCCTGTAGATTGTGGTGTACAGTAATCTATTAGATTCCCTGTAGATTGTGGTGTACAGTAATCTATTAGATTCCCTGTAGATTGTGGTGTACAGTAATACAGATTCCCTGTAGATTGTGGTGTACAGTAATACAGATTCCCTATAGATTGTGGTGTACAGTAATCTATTAGATTCCCTGTAGATTGTGGTGTACAGTAATACAGATTCCCTGTAGATTGTGGTGTACAGTAATCTATCAGATTCCCTGTAGATTGTGGTGTACAGTAATACAGATTCCCTGTAGATTGTGGTGTACAGTAATACAGATTCCCTGTAGATTGTGGTGTACAGTAATACAGATTCCCTGTAGATTGTGGTGTACAGTAATACAGATTCCCTGTAGATTGTGGTGTACAGTAATACAGATTCCCTGTAGATTGTGGTGTACAGTAATCTATTAGATTCCCTGTAGATTGTGGTGTACAGTAATACAGGTTCCCTGTAGATTGTGGTGTACAGTAATACAGATTCCCTGTAGATTGTGGTGTACAGTAATACAGATTCCCTGTAGATTGTGGTGTACAGTAATACAGATTCCCTGTAGATTGTGGTGTACAGTAATACAGATTCCCTGTAGATTGTGGTGTACAGTAATCTATTAGATTCCCTGTAGATTGTGGTGTACAGTAATACAGATTCCCTGTAGATTGTGGTGTACAGTAATACAGATTCCCTGTAGATTGTGGTGTACAGTAATCTATTAGATTCCCTGTAGATTGTGGTGTACAGTAATACAGATTCCCTGTAGATTGTGGTGTACAGTAATACAGATTCCCTGTAGATTGTGGTGTACAGTAATACAGATTCCCTGTAGATTGTGGTGTACAGTAATCTATCTGATTCCCTGTAGATTGTGGTGTACAGTAATACAGATTCCCTGTAGATTGTGGTGTACAGTAATACAGATTCCCTGTAGATTGTGGTGTACAGTAATCTATTAGATTCCCTGTAGATTGTGGTGTACAGTAATACAGATTCCCTGTAGATTGTGGTGTACAGTAATACAGATTCCCTGTAGATTGTGGTGTACAGTAATACAGATTCCGTGTAGATTGTGGTGTACAGTAATACAGATTCCCTGTAGATTGTGGTGTACAGTAATACAGATTCCCTGTAGATTGTGGTGTACAGTAATCTATTAGATTCCCTGTAGATTGTGGTGTACAGTAATACAGATTCCCTGTAGATTGTGGTGTACAGTAATACAGATTCCCTGTAGATTGTGGTGTACAGTAATACAGATTCCCTGTAGATTGTGGTGTACAGTAGTCTATCAGATTCCCTGTAGATTGTGGTGTACAGTAATCTATCAGATTCCCTGTAGATTGTGGTGTACAGTAATACAGATTCCATGTAGATTGTGGTGTACATTAATACAGATTCCCTGTAGATTGTGGTGTACAGTAATACAGATTCCCTGTAGATTGTGGTGTACAGTAATACAGATTCCCTGTAGATTGTGGTGTACATTAATACAGATTCCCTGTAGATTGTGGTGTACAGTAATCTATCAGATTCCGTGTAGATTGTGGTGTATAGTAATACAGATTCCCTGTAGATTGTGGTGTACATTAATACAGATTCCCTGTAGATTGTGGTGTACAGTAATACAGATTCCCTGTAGATTGTGGTGTACAGTAATCTATTAGATTCCCTGTAGATTGTGGTGTACAGTAATCTATCAGATTCCCTGTAGATTGTGGTGTACAGTAATCTATCAGATTCCCTGTAGATTGTGGTGTACAGTAATCTATCAGATTCCCTGTAGATTGTGGTGTACAGTAATACAGATTCCCTGTAGATTGTGGTGTACAGTAATACAGATTCCCTGTAGATTGTGGTGTACAGTAATACAGATTCCCTGTAGATTGTGGTGTACAGTAATCTATTAGATTCCCTGTAGATTGTGGTGTACAGAAATCTATCAGATTCCGTGTAGATTGTGGTGTACAGTAATACAGATTCCCTGTAGATTGTGGTGTACATTAATACAGATTCCCTGTAGATTGTGGTGTACAGTAATACAGATTCCCTGTAGATTGTGGTGTACAGTAATACAGATTCCGTGTAGATTGTGGTGTACAGTAATACAGATTCCCTGTAGATTGTGGTGTACAGTAATACAGATTCCCTGTAGATTGTGGTGTACAGTAATACAGATTCCCTGTAGATTGTGGTGTACAGTAATACAGATTCCCTGTAGATTGTGGTGTACAGTAATACAGATTCCCTGTAGATTGTGGTGTACAGTTATCAGACTGTTATGTTCCCTGTAGATGGTGTTGTACAGTTATCAGACTGTCATGTCCCCTGTAGATGGTGTTGTACAGTTATCAGACGGTTATGTCCCCTGTAGATGGTGTTGTACAGTTGCAGACTGTTATGTCCCCTGTAGATAGTGTTGTACAGTTATCAGACTGTCATGTCCCCTGTAGATGGTGTTGTACAGTTATCAGACTGTTATGTCCCCTGTAGATGGTGTTGTACAGTTATCAGACTGTCATGTCCCCTGTAGATGGTGTTGTACAGTTATCAGACTGTCATGTCCCCTGTAGATGGTGTTGTACAGTTGCAGACTGTTATGTCCCCTGTAGATGGTGTTGTACAGTTGCAGACTGTCATGTTCCCTGTAGATGGTGTTGTACAATTATCAGACTCTCATGTCCCCTGTAGATGGTGTTGTACAGTTATCAGACTGTCATGTCCCCTGTAGATGGTGTTGTACAGTTATCAGACTGTCATGTCCCCTGTAGATGGTGTTGTACAATTATCAGACTCTCATGTCCCCTGTAGATGGTGTTGTACAGTTATCAGACTGTTATGTCCCCTGTAGATGGTGTTGTACAGTTATCAGACTGTCATGTTCCCTGTAGATGGTGTTGTACAGTTATCAGACTGTCATGTCCCCTGTAGATGGCGTTATACAGTTATCAGACTGTTATGTCCCCTGTAGATGGTGTTGTACAGTTATCAGACTGTCATGTTCCCTGTAGATGGTGTTGTACAGTTGCAGACTGTTATGTCCCCTGTAGATGGTGTTGTACAGTTATCAGACTGTTATGTCCCCTGTAGATGGCGTTGTACAGTTATCAGACCGTCAGATAACATGTAAATAGATTCTCCATTTTGTCATTTATTTTTCTTCCCTGATCCAATTTTTTTTTGTTTCCTTTTATTAACTTGATTTTGTTGTGCAATCCTCAGCAACAGAGGATTACACTGGAGGATTGACATCTAAATGGAAATTGACAGAGTTAGATTATGTGATAATGATATGTTTGGGTTACTGTCCACATTGTTTTTATAGCTCACTATCGACCTGTTGGAACTGGAAAACAGTCTTTCATCTACAATGCAGCAGGGAAATGGATTTAGAGAGCTGGGTGCCATTACCGTGGAAACAGTGCGTGGGAGAATGGATGCTACAGTGCTGACAAGTTGTGTCTCTGACAGTATGGATGCGAGTGGAATAACTAAATCATGTAATGGAAGAGAGACTGGCTGAATTAACTAATGGTAGGGAGGCCGAGTATCAGCTATTGCTCATGACCCAATAGGACAAAGGCTATTGGAGAGGTGTTGTCCACTAAAGGGTGGCAAAATGGTAATTAAATAAGGGAGGGTGTTGACAGCAGGTCCCATGAGACTCTTCAAATAGCTAGATCAATAGGTCTTATGAAGTTCGTGTGTGATCTAGAGGTTTAGCAAAATATTATACATTTTGTTTATCTATAGTTTTAGTGGAAAATGTTCTGGTTCAGCTTGTTAAAGGAATGCAGCAATCACTACTACAGTTGTTAAATACTCATTGTATATCTTTTTAAACATTGTTAGATTATTCAGAATACAAATTTCTTTTGTATATCTTACATAAAACAAGTTTTGGGTTTCATAATTTTTCAGTTTGTTCTGCTGATATAATTTTGGTAGAATCACCTTACATAAGTGTGACTCAATGGCTTATGTCAGCTATGTGTCATCTGGCACTGTTGTCAATGGTGATTATAATGTCCCTATGGGTCCTGAGAAACCTCTTTGAAATAGGATTAAGGTAAACCAGTACAGTCACTTTAACTAGCTGTATTAACACATATGAAAGGTCAGATGAGTACCCTTCAGGCCACTCCTTACATAACCTCTGACCCACACAGGTCAGATGGTGTCCCCATTCCCCGTCAAATATGCTGTATTGGATTTGAAATTGAATGAATGAAATATTTATGAGAAGTATGTATGATTTGATTTTTTGGTATGGATATACTTGAATGATTACAATTATTTTACTACAATTAACACCTAATTAGTTTTGACAGGTGTTTCATAACCTTGTATGACGGATGTTTCATAACCTTTCCTAGAAACCTTATACCCTATATTGTTACAATGGAATCTCCCAGTATTTGTGTATGGATGTATGAACTGAAAGTGAGGGTTTAATTATATAATATTTCTCAAACTAGGTATGTCATCAAGTTAGATGAGAGGTTATGTAAATAATTCTATGAAAACATATTATATAAAAAAATATTGGTGTTTGATATAAATTTTATCTACATATTTTTTCTGAATTTTATTTCTATGAAATATTTTTATTATATAAAATTATGCATGCAGTATAAATGATCACTGATTGAATTTGTCACATTCTGGATGAAAAATGACAATTTTTTATTTTGTCACTTAAGTGATTGAAATATAATTTCCATTTAATAAATGTATTTTTATTGAGGTTATTTATTAAATTTCACAAAATACAATTTTTGTACCAACTTCATATATTTGTGTTGTCAATGATTTTTTTAAAACTTGTTATGAAGTTACATTTGTTTGCTATGATGGTCACTAATTTAAAGACTTTATATAATAACTGTTTTAGTTTTTATAATTGAAAATCAATCAAGTGTATTATTTCATGACTTTTTAATCGGCCTTAGAGTTGCACTTTTTGTTAAAGATGTTTGCCAAAGTGTTTACAGTAAAACAAAAATGTACAGTTATTATTTCCTGTCTTATTACCTATATATATTTTTCTTTTTGTTTCTATGTCAATTAGAGACCTCTGTAACTAGAGATCCCAAGATATGTGTAAGGTCTCAGCGGAGGCCATGAGAGGTATATATTATATGGTCTCAACAAACCAGAGACCCTGAGAGAGGTATATATTATATGGTCTCAACAAACCAGAGACCCTGAAAGGTATATATTACCTGGGTCTCAGCTAACCAGAGACCCTGAGAGGTATATATTATATGGGTCTCAGCTAAGCAGAGACCCTGAGAGGTAAATATTATCTAGGTCTCAGCTAACCAGAGACCTTGAGAGGTATATATCATATGGGTCTCACTTTACCAGAGGCCCTGAGAGGTAAATATTATATGGGTCTCAGCTAAGCAGAGACCCTGAGAGGTAAATATTATCTAGGTCTCAGCTAACCAGAGACCTTGAGAGGTATATATCATATGGGTCTCACTTTACCACAGGCCCTGAGAGGTATATGTTATATGGTCTCAGCTAAGCAGAGACCCTGAGAGGTATATATTATCTAGGTCTCCACTAACCAGAGACCTTGAGAGGTATATATCATATGGGTCTTTACATGTAAATGTGATGTATAATTCTGTCTGGTGAGTAAAACCTGATTAAACTGTGATATTCACTATTAATGAACTGCTGAATATGTCAAAAATTGCAGAAATCTTATGAGTTGAAATAAAAACCTATTGAAAATATTGGTTAAGTGTTGTGTATGCTTGCTACCATCACCTCATCAAAGTCTGTTGTGTTTGTGGTCTACCACTATAACCTTTCAAAATGACCTGGTAAGATCAGTTTAGCTGAAGTATCTTTAAATGTAATGTTGTGACACAGGTGCTTGACACAATATCCTGTTCACAGACTGTGGGTTTGCTCCCTAGTGCTTTGGCTCATATCCTGTGATAAGTGTAACTACACCAGACGTTAATATTTTTAGCATGATTTATTGCCCCTGTGAACAGTCAGTGTCATTTTGAGGCGGCGTACACTGTATGTATTCCTCACTAAACCACACGGGGGAGGTTTGTCGCATGCGTAGGCAGATACCGTGGGTGCGTCCATGGGCCTGGAGCCCCTTCCACCTTTTACCCAAACAACCAAAACAAGATACAGAAATAAATGCAGTGACTACAAACACCATGCACTGGAATACATTAATTTAGTGTAGGGAAACATATTGTTTGGGGATTTCTTCGCTACAGGCCCAGTGTAGCGTGGTGTTCACTTCATTCCTTATCACTTTAATTAATGAAGTTCCTCCGAATACAATAAAACAGAAAGATAACAAGGGTGGGGCTGGGTCATGGTAAAGTGAAGCATGACACTATTTTCTTACTAGTTGATCGTTATTCACCATTTCTTTCTAATCACCCTGATTGAATCATATAGATAACAAAAAATATGACTTCGGTTGAGAAATTTTGGTTGGGGCATGGGAGATCATTTCACCATGGTCACGTTAAAGTGAAGCATAAACTATTTTCTTTCTCATTAATTTTGTTCAACATTTTTTTTTCTTATCGCCCTGGTTCAATCTTATAAACACACAATGTGGGGGGGGGGGTCACTCCATCATGGCTATGGTAAAGTAAATCATTTCACTATTTTCTTTTTTCTTACTAATTAACTTTTTCACCATTTTTTTTTTTATATTCGCCCTGATTCAATCATACGTACACGCAAATAACAAAAAATAGGTCTGGGACACCGGATACACCTACAGCAAATTCCACACAGTTCAAAGTTGAATGTTTTTAATATAACTGATTTGTTAGCGTGGAACAAGACATGACTAAAATCTTTTTTGACAAAACGTTGGTTGCATGATCTCGTGATTTTCAAGGCAGTAACGGCTGATTAATTACTAGTAAAAGTATCCGATGGCCTATGCATTTAAATACCAGATGTTCCTGATTTCTGAGAATTTGTTTGAAAATTTTGGTTAGATTACGTAAGTCGTATACAGGGAGATAGCATCATGTATTTACAGGGTGTAGCAAAACAGAATTCGCAGATGCACGGGATAGGTCTATTGTATCACCAAATTTAAATGGCCCTGGTTTCACAATTGCTTCATTCCAGAAGTTCGAAAACACATAAAGAACACCATAAATTACACCAATTATGAAATTAAACTGATTAAAGTCACAATGAATTAATTTCACTCAGCTGAACGTAATAATAGTGAGTGTAGTGCGATGAAGTAAAACCCATGATAAAGGGTATTTTGACCCCGGTTCATTTCCCCGTGATAACTAAACAGAAATCATGTTTCCTTAATGTCTGGTCAGTGTATTGTAAAACTATTAGGTATGTTTGTAATATATAAAAAAAAGTGACATCATAAATATAAATGACAATGCCTGGCGATCCTGTTGCTGTTAATCTTGTTTTCATTTAAGAACGTGATATAACTTACATCACTGACATTTATCAAGTTTTACATGGCTGGTGTTGTAAATGAAGCTGGAAAAGCTTTCTCTTTCGGAACACGTAGCCTTATTCTTCTTGTGATTTTTCCGAGGTCGTGTAAATCTTTCATTTGTTCGCATTTTGACTTTGTCTCGTCGATTTTGACTTTTAAAAAATATGTTAATTAAGACAGTTCACTTATAGGAGGGTGGATATATGCAGTAACCAAACTGTTCGGATATCTTATTGCAAGGAAACAAAACAAGAATGGAAGAGACCATGCATAGATGTGCATACAGGTTTTTTTCAGCAGAAAGTTTGGATACCATAGTAACCAGGTCACTTAATACAGGTTTCTGTGTAATAGCCCTCAATTCTACCGTCATTAGATCAATTTTAATAAAACTTGCAAGGACAAGTGGTATAACTTATCGATGACGTCATGATCCTTCCCGTTGCCCGGCGTTGTCCAATTGACAAGGGTCGATTCTCTGGCGACGTTTACTAAACTGGCTAAAGATTTTCTATAAAGTGTGTTATTGATCTTGGAACCGTATGGTCAGGCGGCGCAGTGGTAGCGCAATGACCTTTCACAATGGCATTGTGAAAGGTTATGGGTCACCTGATCTTCAACTTGGCTTTTCCCCCGGATACTCCGGTTTCCTCCCACAATCTACCCACTTATTGGCAATAGTTGTAACATATGGTAAAAAATCTGGACCCCATGACATACAACCTTATTTAAGATATCGATATTGACCCTGGGTAACAGAGTGGTTGCAGTGTATGTTACCACCTCCCATATAACTTCGGGGACATGTATAGCATAAATATGATTTATTTGTGAACCAAATTAATGTGTCCATGTAGTATGAATATCCCTTTAAAATTTGATAAAAAAATTCATGCCGTTTTTAGCCCACCATTATCAGATAGTTGACTATTCAAATCGCCCTGCGTCCTTGATCAGTGGTCCGTCCGTCCGTAAACAATTTTTGTTATTGCTATTTCTTTAGAAGTACTCAGAAGACAGGTGGCCATCTTGGATTTTCATTTGAAGGATTGATATCACTATTTCTAGAGAATTGATTCAAAGATCTTTCTCAAAATTGAAAGTGTCGAGGCCCCTTGGTCCCCGGTCGCCACCCTTTGATTTTGGGTCTGATTAGAAAACAAAATGGTTGACAGGCGGTCATCTTGAATTTTGATTTAGAAAGTTTGTTATTGCTATTTCTTGAGAACTACAGAATATATTTTTCACGTGTATGCTTTCCTTTATCCTTAGCTGCGCCT